TGCGGTTTCGTAGGAAACGGTACACATCCGATCCAACATTGCGCACCCACTCATCCTTAAAAGGCATTTCTTGATCTTGAGCTAGAAAATCTATGTTTCATTTGACAGCTGCAGAGCTCGAGCAGACTTTGACGACCAAATGTCAAGGGCGACTTGAGCTTGGGCTGAGAATAAACAAAGGGCGTCAGACTTCAAAAGCGTAGATGGCGTCGCCCACACTGCCAGCCTCTTTTAACTTCATGACCCACAATCAGACCGAGCGGAAGTGACAGCGCCTGACGTATACAAGCAAATTCACTAGCTGTAATTACAGTTCCGTATTACGTATGTGTGCACCAATAAGGGCAAGCTCGGCTACTTTCGCATCTTCCGAATCAACATCTCTCGATCCAATCGAGAAATCTATCCGGGGGATGGTAACGAAAACTTCATGGTAAATTAAACCGCCAAGCCTGACTCCAGGTTTACAGAGTCGAAACAGCGTAAGGAGGATGCAAACAAGGAGCGCCAATCCGTCGATACCCTTTTCCATCAACCGCTTGAGTCGGCGTCAAGGGTCGCAAACCAGCCAATGCTTGAGCGAGCCATGGTCGATCATGACGGGAATCTCATTACCGACATTTGCATGAAGAAATTTCAGCCTGGGCGAACCGTCGCACGTTGGACACACGCCGGAAAAACAAGCTCGCCACTATTTCAAACGAGACGGCGTAAACATCATCAGGAGAGTCGCAATGATTAAATTAGGGGGGATCCTTCTAACATGGGCTGACAATGTTCACCCCAGACGACCTATTGTGGACGTCAAGCTAAAGCCTACGCCAATCGCTAAGAGCATGACACGGCAAGTCCTTGACGGACCAGCATCGAGGTACTTAATAGTTGAGGGCACCAGAGACTCAAGCCCAATTGCGTTGTAATCCACTACTCGATCAAGGGAGCAAACCCAATCCTGCTCTTGCTAACGGCGATGTCGACTGCTCAAATCGTCGTTTGATCATAGGGTGACCTGGGCAGTCAATTGAGGTCGACGCAAGCGACAGGAACTGGACAAAGAGGCATCGAAACAGCTTTCCAAGAGGTACCTACCAAGATCTGGTCTGTTCCAACTTGGCCTGGATGCAATCAAAAGACAACAATGGTATGTACAGGGGTGTGTCGCCCAGTGGAAGACATTGAGGCCGTTCATCGGACGATATGATGCTTAATGCGGCAGAACAATCAAGAACTTTTGACTCTCCCGCTCAGCTTTTCTGGGCCGCTATTCTGACGATTGGTGGCACATGCACCAAGCTGGCAGTTTGAAAAGCCGAATGCCTAACGACCAAGACTACCTTCCTGACCTCGATAGAAGATGTACAGGCTCACGCTGACCTTGTCAAACGATTCATTCCGTAAAAATGCGAACAGTCATATATTTTTACAGTCGTGTTTGTGGACGGCAAAACCTCAGGCGACACCGCGTGCCCAGAGCCGACTCCCACACTTGACACTCCAATCCGGACGCGTGCTACTTCCGGCGACATGCCACATCTACCCTAACGAGGATCTGAAGCAAAGTCTGTGTAAAGCAGCCTCACCGCCGAGTGCTGCACGATTAAACGGGCTCTAGACGTTGACCAATGCTATGACGATGCTCAAGAATGAGCACGAGGAGGTCAGGAGCTTCTCGTCTTCACAGTCCCGCCAGTCGTCCAGATGTAGACGCCGAAAGGCAGAAACAAATGACGGGCAATCAACTCCGGCTCTTTAATAGCAGCTAAGATGGCAAAAAGCTCGCGGCTTGAGAAAGGGCAGATACAAATGGGAGAGGAAGTACAAAAGACGGTGGTTTTGGTCGATTTGCCTCCCGCTTGCAATACCCGTAGCGTCCGAGGGTAAATCGTTGCCGCCTATTCCACCTGCCGGTATTCCAAACTCACACGCATGTGGCTTGACTCAGTCTTGTCAGGCTCACGCAATATCAGAAGACCTCTGAGCAACTAAGGCCCAGGAACGACTAGTGCCACTTGAATGAGTCCCACAGCGGGCTTCAGTAGTTCTGCGGAAAAAACATGCTTGGCCCCTTGGTTGAGTCAGCAACCTCGTTGCTTCGTAGCCCCATATGGAAACCAAAGTACGGCTACCCGCACGACACGACGCAGAAGGACGTATGAAAAGGTAGGGCTAGGATGACGCACCAAGCTTCTCGACTTCTCTCTAAGCAGGACATGAACGAGGCCAAAGAGCACAGCATTAGCGACTCGTTTCGTATATGAAGCGGCTTCGGGCATTGATTGAACGTTCGCTTTGAAGGCAGGCCACTAAAATCAACCATATAAAATATCAAAAAGCGTCCGAACGTACAGAGTCAAAACCCTCCGGTGAATATTGCATTTTCCTGTTGGGACACACAGGCAGTACTAAGCTTCCTATGCCACTGCGGCTTCAGTTAGTTTGTTCGGAATACGCCTGAGTAGCAGCAAGCGCTTGCTCAAATCTCCCCTGCTTCAAAGCCCAAACTGACATTTTCCTGTTCGTAACCGGAGCCCCCCAGCTAGCTTGCTCTCTTTACCGGTGCTTACTTTGGGACGAAAGTCTGAGAAGAGCGTGGGTCACCACCGCTTGCCTGCTCGACGACAAAATGGGTGCCGTGGAATATGGAGAAGAGCAGATCCCAAAAACGGTCACTCCCTACCAGTGACCTTCACATTTCCAGACGCGAAAGATTGAAGACTATGCATTACTGACAGATTTGTGGCAGATTTCGGTCGCCCTGCGCCTTCACTTTTGTCATTCGCGTCAAACTTTAACATATGAGCAACACCAGCAGGGGCGGGGACCTTTACAACTTTGACGGTTGCCAGAGTCTTCAGCAGTTCCGAAGGCTGCTTGATTCCTTTCCGGCTAGGAAAGTGTGATGCGGGACATTTGACTCGAACTCGACAGGACGACGAATGCTAGACCAGGACAATCCTGTCAGCTAGGAGTGTCAGGATCGCCGAAGTGCCAGGCAGAGTGCGGATCTATTGCTTGACAAAGCGAGGATAAACAAGACCTCGCGAAGATGCGAACGACTCCAAATGGAGGTCCGGAATGGCAGCTGCATGTGAGAAGCGGCAACCGCCAGCCAATCCATGCAATGAAAACGCGCTGGAGAGTCAGAAATCGAGATCGGTGGCCTCTGGTAATCATAGTTTGGGAGTGAGTTTGAGCAGCCTGTTGCGTGCCCAATCTGGTCTCCTTCACGGCCGAGCAATACGAAGTGAAGTCTACATAGATATTTTCGATCCGTTCGCTTCAAAGCAACCTGAAGCCGACTATCACGGGTCTTAACATTGCCTGCGGTTAATTGCTCATCCCAAAACACGGCAGATGGAGAGCAATAAGGCGCTAGCGATACATGCCCGGCGCTAAAGCCGGTTAGCTTGGCAGGATCAATCTTTTCAAAAGGCATCCGCTCTGCTTCATGAGGAACGTTTCGTGTTCTCAAATAACCAATCACAAGCTTGCGGATAAACCCATATAGGAAGCTGATCAGAAAGCATCCAATTCAAGAATACATGACACCGTGTACAGGTGCCAGCCACGTTTGTTCTTTCATAGCCTGGGTCGGCAAAGATGGTCCCGGAAGGGTACTACTTCTTCAACCTGACGCTACAAATCTTGACAGCACCTAGTGCTTATTTGTAACCATGTCCACGTTGTTTTCTGCCTAGGCGTGGATAGAAATCTGGGTCTTGATTGACCATACTTAGTCAAGAAGCAGAGCTTCGTTCTTCTGGTCACTCTTTCGAGGAAGATACACGCAATCCACCCGACAAGTGTGGTATCGGGTACACTCTTTCAAGAGAGAGTGTGAGCCCTGTCTTCTCAGCGGGTAATATCAGCCGATGTTCCCAATATCAAAAAGGACAACCGGCCGGTCTCTTAGCTACTGCTTTTGCTGGGGCTAAGCCTCGAAAAGTCTAACGTAACCCAGAGCTTGCCAACTCGGCAACCCACTCAGCACAGGGGGTCTTAAGGATTTCAAGCTGACTCAGCAAAGGAGTCTCCCTCGACAAGCAACTGTCGCCTTCTGAAAACAAGAAACACTAAAGAGGTTTTCAGGATGCGAATGAATGGAATGGTTTCGGTCGAGAGGAAATCTTACCCTTATCAGAAATATTTACCGTCAATACGAGCAAGACAAACCCCCGTCTGGATTCTTCGCCATTTAAACGACTGCCGCAACAAAATTCGGCACGTCCAAAGACTGCTCGGGGATTGGGCGTTCTCGTTGAACTGACGCATGCGGACATCCAAGCAGACAAGACGATAGAGATAGACAGGTCAGCCGGGAGAGCGAGCCGTATGAAAGTATGATGCTCGCCATAGCCAAGACCAATCTTCGAGTGAAGTTGAGGACGATTTTGATGGACGTGCTAAGTAGCAAATCGGTAGTGACGAAACGTCCAGCTAGCACCAGATATTGAGTGACCTGCTCCAAGCCTTGGTTTTGACACTTGCGGCCTCTGGAAACTGGAAGGCAATTGACTTTGAGCACAGTCTAAGCTGCTCATTGCCCTGTCTTCTTCACTGCCAAACAAGCCGGGACTTTCCAGAACGACAGACGCACGCCCGAAAAGCACGCTATCGGCCAGGGTATAGCTGGTCACAACGTCCAGTGAGAAGGCAAGAAGGCTAACGAAGGGACAGGCGCTGGCGCTCTAGTCAAGCTTGACAGAAAGCAAGCATATCCTCCAAGCGATTTGCATCATAAAGTGTGTTTTCGGGTCCTCAATGATCAACTCACAATCTGCCAAGAAAGCCTTTTGGAGGCTTCTTGAGAACGAAAGCAGGCATCAGAACTCAATTTTGAATGACACAAGTCTTAATGTGCCAGCCACGTTCGTTCGTCATGACCCGCCGTGTTGTTTCTGCGTCGTACTGCTCCAGGTATAGCTCGAATTATTACAGCAAACCTGTCCAGTCATGCACACTCTAATCTAAGATGATCAAAAAGACGCTGGTGTCTCCGTTTACGAAACAAACAGCAGGCGACACTCAGGTCTGCACTGCAAAAAGAGGTGGACGAAATGCAGGGAAGCAACGATCTTCGATTCCAATTACCTCGCAGCATACAAAAAAAGTCCGGGGGAACCACATTAAGAAACAGCGCCTGCCTCTTGAAGTCTTGCAGAGCGCAGAAACCTTCTTCAACTCTTCTGATCAAAAATCCTGGCTCTTGAAATCGAAGAGATCATGGGCAGTTGTCGTGGGCCTGCCCAACCAGTTCACAATCACAGCCGACTCAGAACGAGAGTGCAAACGGAAAGGCGACTTCACACGAGCGAACAGAAACTGTTTTACGCACTCATAGTATCCCGGTATGGAAGAGCGTTGGGGGTACTGACTCAATTCGCACTGCTCAGATCATACGAACACGTCTTGGATGGACCAAGGAAACTCAGACTGCAAGCGACCAGCATGAACCATCTCAACTGAGACGTGACTGGGGGGAGGCTTTGAACGTTTTTCCCTACAAAGTTCACAGCAGAGCACACTGGAACGCACTGGCAATTGACAAGCAGAGAGAACAAATGGTTCGAACAATCCATACCAGCTTTTTCGGTGTTGAGTCTTCCAAAAATTCTACCTGATCTTCGATGAGGATCCCCGCCATTCCCACTCGCGCGTACCCCTCCACCGTCCGCTTCACGTTCATTGCGTTCCCATACCCCGTGTCGCCATCTCCGATCACCGGTAATCTGGTTGCCGCCGCAATGAGCCGGGCCTGCAGCAGTGTCAGAAAAAAGTCTTCGATCCGACCTGCTGAGTCGGCGTTTGCAATCTCATGGCAGCCTGGAAGGACAGAAAGGCAAGCTGGACATAGCGTGGTTGAGTTTTGCTTCCAGTCATCGTGAAACCGCTAGCAGGCTGCAGGCCTTGCAACAGCAGAGTTCTCACATATATTTCTCGGAACCACACGAGTCTGAGGTCGTCAAGGCAGACTTGAAAAATTTGCACACATGTTGATCAGGGCGCAAAAATAACCTTAAGGACAGTAACTTCCACCTCCTGCATCTTATCTCTCGTTAAACCGACTTGCGGACATTCTGAAGCGAAGATGCGAGCAGCATAAACGTAGCAGATCATTTAACGCTGAAAGGTCTCTTACTATGTGAGCTGAATTGTATTCCAGTAGACGCTATCGCAGACGCCGCTCCCTCATTCGTCAATCTGACTGGTAGCTGATTGACTTTGCTCCATCTTTCCCTCGCTGGTCAAATATACCTCATGGAAGGAGCTTGTGCCAGGACACCTCTTCACTAGATAAAGACAAACGCAAACGGCATCGGAGCACCCAGCCCTTTGAGCACTGATGATAGCAGATTACCTGATCTACCATCTCCCCATAGGAGATGAGCCCAGCGTCAGGCGCTGCCAGCCGCGTTGCGGAGACGCTAAACCCACTCATGAAGGCCAGCTTGAAGCCCGCTCTCTCAATCAGGTGCGCGCTGCAGGGCACATGCGATTTAGTATGCATTTGAAGGGGCGGCGAGTGTCAATCAGCAAGTCTGAGCGAGCGATAATCCTTCATTCTGAAATCAGAATATATCCGCGATTTTAACACATAATCAACAGGACTCAATATTAGGTAGACTTCAGGAGGGGACCTCAAGAACAAGTATGTGCAGTTGTGAAGACTAGCCCCTTCAGGAAAGGTTCCTGAACATACATAATTCGGAACCACGACGCACAAATCAGTGGCCAGAGCCGCTGTATCTTTTTCTGACGCGTCATGACCTGCGTCTCATCCCCAATTGACTCTTTCTGGAAGGCGCCTACAGGACCTGTCCACTTAGCAAGTGGCTCTGAAACATACTTCTGTGATACCTGGTCTTGGGCATGCACGAGAACCCAAAGCTGCCAAGGACCTACTACTGGTCACCTTAAGAGAATTTGGTGTAGAATTTCAGTCTGATTGTTGCAGCCTACGACTCCGCGCACTGGTCAAAGCAGCGCTGGCCCTTGCCCCATCATAAGATCTAGTTGACTTCATACTTCAGAGAAATAAAGCATGCAAACAGAGACATGGTCAAATGACAGACTGCATCAAAGAGGCTTTACGCTGCAACCACTTCACATCCCATGCTGGTTCGTTTTCAAACATGGTGGTGCTTGCTGAGCATGTAGCAAACCTCGTCAAAAAGAATGCAATCATAAACAGCATTCCTCATCGCAATGAGAAGACTCTTTTTGTTTCCATTGGTGTCAGAATAGGCCCCTCAGCTCACCTCAGCGCGTCATGACACGCTGGGCCCTGCACAATGCCAGGCCCTTCTAAAAGTTCCCGCAGCCGCTGTGCTTTCGTTGGGTTCCGCTTTCCTCCATCTCTAGTTGCTGCAGCCTCTGCCCGAGCCACAGCATTTCTACTACATGGTACACTCCAAGCACAGTTCTTTCTGCGCTGAACCAACCCGCTGTTTTCTGTATTTGAACTGACAGAGCTGGTTCCTCGAATAAACCCAAAACTTAACAAATTTTGCAGCTCAAACAGCCATTGCGTCTGGCGGGAAGGCGCATGATACAATTGTGAGGGCCTATGAAAGCCTAGACAATGACTTGCTCGTCTGTACACACGAGCAGCTCGACATTCTGTTGACAAAGATGGCTGCCTGCTCCGGGGGCAATGCAGAGACGATCCATGAGAGCTGGTGAGACGCGCTGAACAAGCAGCAGTCGCCATTCTGCCAGGTAGTCAGAGCGAGGGAAGAGCTGGATGGCGGCTGCAATCGTTTGAAGTCTGCTGGCAGCAGTCATTGGATTTCCAGTTGGACACTTTCAAGGATGGCCTATGGTTCATCAAAAACTGGTTCTAATGTAGAACAGATCGAGGACGAGGTAGAAAGCGGCCTGTTCACATGTCCAACTCGGCATGGAATCCTTGTCTCCGACCGAACCCTCGAAACCCTGCCTCAACGTACGTGCCGGCGGCCGCGCGCTCCTGCCAAGTCAAGCTGGGGCGGCGCGAGGCTGCAATCCCACCCAATCCAGGGTTTTCATCGCGGCCGTCCGTGTCAAGGCCGTCCTTCCGTGCACCGTCGATTCGAGATGCCCTCAAGAGGGATCCCCGAGCACGGCGAGTGCCCGGTTTGGCTCTTGCTTCGATGAGTTGGTCACCGTCGATGGACGACCAGGCAAGAATTGACGGCCCCAGATGCTTTGTGCTCGTTATAGCCCGTGAGCGGTTATGAGTATTGAGATACAGACTTCCGAAAGACGCAAACTCGTACAGTTCATGTGCATTGCTTCAGAGGTGATGAGAGCTCGCTTTTCGGGTCCCTGTGCCACAATGTTCGGCCAAATGTATTGTTTCCACGCTTTCACTGTGTGGCCTACAATGAGACTGCTTCAGCCGCGGGCTTTGAACTGCGGGTTCTGTGCGAAGACTAAGTAGCGAAGACAGAATTGCAAACGAGTGTTTTTATCCATCCTTTGACAAAATGGTGCGCTTTCAGGTTCAATACTGGGGGGAGGCAGAACCTCGGATTGTTGATGTGGCTGTTCAGAATGGTAGGCTGATGCTTCTCACTCTGCTGGAAGCCACAGAATTGGCGTTTGCAGTAGAGAAGCAGACCGGCAAGATCATTTCCACAGACACAGAGGGCTATGTCACCATGTCTGACCTGACAGCGGATCCTGTTGGCATCGAGGGGCGGCGCCGCTTACGTGAGTTCCATGCTTTGAATACTGCAAAGACTTTTCAGATCTCAGGATGAAGCCTTTCAAGGTAAATGTCAGTGTTTACTGCAAACACTTCTCAGATCCCAGGATGAAACGTTTGAATTAAATGTCAGGGTTTACTGCAACGACTTCTCAGCTCCCAGGATGCAATTTTTCAAGTAATGTTAGGGTTTACTGCAAAGACTTCTCACATCCCAGGATGAAACGTTTCAAGTAATGTCAGGGTTTACTGCAAAGACTTCTCACATCCCAGGATGAAACGGTTCAAGTGATGTCAGGGTTGATAGCAGCTACTACAGGCTTTGGCAATTTCGTGTCTGTTGGGTGCAGCTCCTTGAGAGCTGGAGCGGCATCGTGGCTGCGCTCAGGCTTTACTTTCGACCACCTTCACGTAATTCTTTGGCCCGTACTGTATGCAACTGACAGCGTGCTCATTGGCAGGTTCCATGACCATCCGACAAATCTTGGAGCGCCCCTCAGGGTGCGGCTACGCTATCTCTGAAGGAGCGTACACGAGCATTGGAACGACAGAAGTCTCCAGGTTTCCGCCCAGGGTGGTACAGATGCACATGGCACCGTTAGTCCTTGAGTGGTTTCAATCGCTGCAGGACTCGCCCCCGCTTGGCGAACTCACCTGTGCTCCTTACTCTGGAGACAGCCGCATTTCCGCCCTTCCTTTCCTCTCAGAGACGGCATCGAATACTGCTTTTTTCCAGATGGTGAGACCCTCAAGTCTTGATTTTGTCTGTCGCATCGCTGATTCCAAGAAGAGCTACGTCTGCAGTTCCATGGGAGGGCTCTCAAGTTTCTCCAATTGCACTGCCTTGCAGTCTGTCTGCAGTCTGTTACTATCATAGCGGGGAACAGGAATAAGGTCATGGTCAAGATGGCCTGGGAAAAGAGTTAAGAGTTAAAATGAAGAGAAGCCTTGTTATCGAGGGCGTTTTAGTATCAGCAACCATCTTGCACAAACTGAGCTAAGGCATCGATTGGCCAACAACTGATGGCGAGTTAACTTGGGGATCCCTCTGAAACTTGCTCATTCTCTTTCTCGACCACAGGATTGCTTGTCCATCGGTGCTCAGCACATTGCACAGTCTGAACACGACGCCATTCTGCCTAGATTTGTTCTCATTGTCAGCATTTGCTTGTGCAGGAATCTGGATTGTGCACGTCCCCAGAAACTTTTTTCTTCGTGATTGGTAGCTCGGAGTTGTACCTTTCCTGAACAAAAGATGCTTCTTAATGCAAGGTCCTCTCGCCACTGAATGACATTATGGTCAACCTTGGGCTCAACCATCGGTGGCATCAAGAGCCCAACCAACAACGAACGTCGGAAGTTGGCGTGGTCGGCATGGGCCGCCCTGACTTCATCTTGCACGAGAATCACCAGAACAGGAGAAAGGGGTCCACGGAGGGCAAAATGCCCTGTATCCTCCATCAGGGCCGAAGCACCGTGACCGAGCAGGACCGTGAGGTTGTCAACCTGGAGAGATTGCAGCGTGCATACAGGTTCGACCCCAATGAAACTCCAGCTGATCTGCCGGAACTGTACAACGGGACCCAGAGAAAGACGTCCGTTCGGTCTGCCCTTGGTCAGGTAGGCACTTTGCAATCCCTCTGCTTTGCCGCTTTACTCATGGTGGGTATAACCTGTCTGATGCAATCTGCATCCGTCGTAGCTAAAGCCCTTTCCAGCGTGCTTCCCCCTGGCTATACAGGTCTCGAAAGCAAGTCAGTCTACGCGGATTGTCTCGATACTTTTTAGCTAAGTTAGGCAGTTTAAGACGCGTCAAGACACAGCAATATTGGCTGTCTTCCGCTCTCAGTCCTGCTCTCGAGCTTCCAGCTATCTTCATCAAGGTTTTGATGCAGAAGTGGTGACAGGTCTCAAACAGGTCCTTAAAGAAACATCATTTGTGCAGGAGGCCGGCTATATGGAGGCTGACAACCACATCATTGGGTTTTTGACTGCCGACAGCGTGCTGTACGCACTGGTCCTCCACCCAGCCTACCGAGGCACGCTGTTCATATCTGAGCCCTTCCTATGGATGTCAACTGAGGTGACACAGCGGATGGTGAGTCTGTCCTTCTATAGGTACTGTCCTTTCAACGGTCGCTTCTATCACAGATTACTCAGCAAGAGTCTGCCGAGTCCAAAGAGACAAACGCTGAGGAAAAGTATCTTCAGATGGTAGTTTCGAGCCTGAAAACGGAAGAGGACGTGCCAGACTGGCGGCTTCCAGTCCGAAGAAAGTGAATGCTAGGAATCATATTGTGGATCTTATCTGCAACTAAGTGAGTCGGTTGGACACAAGGCAGTTTTTGTTCCCGCAGGTGATGATGTTCGGAACTCTGGTTCTTCTCGGTCAAGTCTCAACTGATGGGCTGCTCGCAGCTGCGGGCGCTGCACTGGCTACAGAAACTGCCGCACGCCAGGCACCGATCCCAGAAGGCAGCACCAGCGCGGGCCCCAGCAGCGCTCCTAGCAACAGCAGAGGGCCTGCTTTCGGGACGCGCTCCCAGGCTGCAGGGAAGGGAACGGGAGGCCATTACAGCAAGGGCGCTGACCTCAGCAACGCAGATCCGGGGCCAGTGGAACGAAACACGCCGCTCTACCAGTCCTTCCTTGCCGAGGTTCAATTGACGCGCCTCATCTGCGACGGACACGCGGGCAGAGTGTATGAGGGAACGTGAGTTCCTTTCTCAGTCCTGCTTCATTCGGCGGCTCTGCAAATGATTCTGGTTGTTCCTTGGAAAGTTTTTTGCTGGATAGAAGTGAGACATTTCTTGTTCTACTTGCTGAAGCAGTTCCATTGCAGTTTCATCGTCACCGGTCTGGCCCTGCCACTAGCCACAGGTTGATGCTAGATTGAGAATCACCCCTGTGTCTAACAGTCTCAACCCAACCAATGGCGCATCGTTCGTTTGGGTTCGCTGATTGACTTGTACAAGCTCGCCGAGTTGTCCAATCTGTGTGCCTCCCTGCCCTTTTGCATGGCCGCCAGATTGCCCGTGTTGTGTTTGCCTCGGTTGCTTGAGTCTTTTTGGCTTTGTTTCTTGGGTCTTTCAAAAGAGGAATTCCTGCAGCGAAAAGGGGAGGCACATGGCAAGGGACATGTACGGCTGAATGCTAAAGGCTGCCCTTTCTTACATTGTGCAGTTTATTGGAAAGGCCCGTCGTAGTCAAGTCGACAGACACTGCCCACTCCGCGCTGGGGAAGAGGCTGCTGCTCAATGAGGCTGCCGTCGTGACCTCCCTCGCGCCTCTTTGGGAGAAGGTTGTCCCCGCGCTCGTTGCATCGGGTTTCCTTGGATCGAGCTTTTTCGTGAACATTTTCCAGAAAATCGACGGGAGGAAGCTGCGGAAGGAAGACACGCCAAAGGCCCTTGATGCCCTCCGGAAGGTCCATGAGCACGGTATTCTGCACGGGGATGTTAAGCCGGAGAACTTCCTAGTTACTAAACAGGGGGCAGTTTTTGTCATAGACTTTGGGCTGTCTCGGCCTTGCACAGAGTCTGTAGAACTTCGGAGGGAAGAGGCAGAGCTCCAAGACATTTGGTAAGGTTCATAACAGGGTGCACGTTACACGAGCTTGAATCTGTAAAAAGAGGGGGTCCTTGATAGAACGGTACTAGTGGAAAGAGAGGCTGGTGTGTGCCACTGTACGGGCTCTTTCTGTGGTGATCAGGGATGGAGGGCTGATTTTTTGCAAGTTATCAGCACAAGGTAAACACAAAGCGATTGGACTGGTGCAGCTGTGACAAGACGTGTCTCCGTTCTTTGGCGCTTGTACATCATTCGCGTTCAGATTGCCAGTGCTGAAAACTACTGTGACAGTTGGACCAATGTACACTTAGTACCTTAGCTGGTAAGCTGTCTATTACTTTTGGAGATAAGTGCCTATGCACTGCAGTAGGTGTAAGGCAAGAGCTGCCAACAGCTCTCACAAACTAAGTCCAATGGTGCACGCTGATAGATCAAAAAGTCCAAAGTTAGGTATGGTTTGCGCTTTCTAGCTATGACAAGGGACATGGAGATGCCCTGGCACGAACGATGACAAGTGGCCAGGCTCTGTTGAGGGGGCTAAAGATCATTGTAGTGTTGGGAATGCTTTCCCGCTTGTAACATGCAAAATGCCTTCTTGACATATGCATGTTCAATCGCAAGCTGAAGGAATCCTTCCGTAACTGCCTCGGAGCCATGAGGATATCTGATTGCAATGTGAATACCGGCAATGCATGAAAGGCCATTCATTTGCTGTAAACGGGAACGGTGTTCAACAGGGCGGTAACGACTGTCCTGATCCCATATGGCAAGCAGGACACCTTATGGGGCATAGCCTATGCCAGAGGGGGTTGGGCCTGGGGCGCCCGGTAGACGTACCCGGCTGGGTTGGGTGGGAATGCAAGGTCGCGCCAACTGGGTCAAGCTAGCGGCCTGAGTACCATGGTAGTCACTGTCACACCGGCGTTGGGGCCGCCGGCCGCGCCGCGGCTCGCTTATGCGGGCCTCCGAAGTTGCGCGGCGCCGCCCCGGGGCCGCCGCGGCCGTGCGCGCGGCCAGCGCCGCCGCGACCTAGCTACTTTGCATGACTGAGATATATAATTGCTCGGACGCGCTTCTTCGCTTTACAAATCGAACAGAGCTTGAAGCATGCTTTAGTGTCCGCGACGTGCAGGTTGAGGAGAACAGATTCAATGATCAGACAAATGGATCGTCCGAGATGGATCCAAGGATATCATTCATGACCAATCCCTATCAGGCGATTCGCCGGATCTTTATGCAAGGCTGAGCAAGAAGGTCAAATTCCCTCCTCGTTGGTGCTAAGACACATTCGATCACGTAGCTGCGTCTCGTAGGCTTCCGAGTTCGCAAGTCGCAGTGGACCGTACCAGCATCATCGTCCTGCAGTGTGTTTGTCTAATATAAAAATACTACTAGCAATATTCATAATTTGCTCGACCAGTGGTGTGCTTGATCAGAATTAGCTGAAAGCAGTGACGTGAAGACACCGTCCGCGGCGAGAAAACCACAGATGAGTGATACATTCTCTTCTTCACATGCAGATGCCAGCTCGTTAAAATAAAAACTTCCAGACTTTGAGAGGTCACAAAACCCTTTCAAGACCCGTCCCGATATAGGAAATTAAAGCTGCCGACCTTTTTCATCTTGAATCGTATAAACGCCGAGCTCATTCAGCTTCTTCGCGAATCTACCTCTCAGATCATATCGACGTTGCATGAGTTCAGCCTAATTCCCCGAACCCCATTCCCTTTTCGTCTTCAACCTAACCCGCCTGGTGAGCCTTGACCACCGCATCGGTGTCGCAGTACTCGACGAACCGGCAGAACAGCCCGGCGTCATTCACCGTCCAGTTGTGCAGCATGTCGGTCTTGAACGTCTTCCCGGTGGCTTTCACCGTGGCCTCGACGAAGATCTTAACGAAAACCTCGTTGCCCGCGCCGGCCCAACCGAGGATGTCGAATCGCTTGACGTCGATCGTCTCGTGCATAACCTGTAGTAAGATGATCCAGGCTGGCTGAGACGAAGAATTCTGAGCTAATAAGCAGAAAGGTCTTGACAAAAAATTCGTTGCCCGCGCCGGCCCAACCCAGGATATCGAATTGCTTGACGTCAATCGTCTCGTGCATAACCTGTGGCCGTAAGATGATTCAGGCTGGCTGAGAAGAAGCGTTTTGAGCTGAGAGCAGAAACTTGAAAGGGCAATTTTGAACGTTGATCACATATGTCCGGCTCAGGCATTTGTGAAATAGGAAGAGTCGGGACCAGAAGCACAGTTCATTCTGATCAGTAAGGGAACGGAGGCTGAGTAGAAGGCTGACGCAGCGTGGCTGTCATTCAGTGCAAGAAGGCTTTCACTCAAACCGGGCCTGGTCCGATCAAGGCCGAGTTCAGGGGCAAGTCAGACCAGCGTCGAACAGAGTACATTCCCTTTCGGGTACTTTGATTCACTTCGGCGTGCAGCGTAATGAGAACGTGGTTGTGGTTGATCTTCAGATCAGAAGATCAGGCCGCTCCGTTGTGGTGCGAAGAATCAGGTCATGCAAATAACGCATTGGAAGGACCTCACGTTGGCAGCTGGTCCTCTGTTATGACTTGACCAGATATCGGTTCTAACTACGAGCAGCTTATGCGAGTCGGCAGCACAGAAAAGGCAGCAATGACAATACACGGAGAAAGTCCAGTGTTAAATGGAAGAGCATAAGCGTCGGGGGGTTCAATCGAAGTCAATTTATCCCGGCTTTTAAGCAGGATAGCGAAACCGGGCGACTAGCTTGGAGACACAGACGCTGCTTTCAAACGCTTTACTGTCGTTGAAAAGTGGACTCGAAGCAGACCAGCTTGTCCAACTCAGCCCCCGATTTAAGAGGTCCCATGCTTTTGACACTTCTGCTCAGACTACTTTCTTTTGGGCAGCTTCTCTGCAAAGGACTTTTCGAACCCTGCAAGGGAAGTACTCCTGTTAATCTAATCAGCCCCGTAGTCGCTATAAGTAGAAGGGAGAAAGAAAAAGCATACACGGCTCAAATGTGAAACCTTCCCCCCCTGCTAATCAAGTACACGAACAAGGATGCACCGCCTACAACCAGGCACAGAGGTACCTACCTTCGTGTATTGTCCCACGCCGTCCTTGTTCTTCCAGACTCCGGACATGGGCACCCTGATTTGGCGCCTGGCGCACTTGGGTTCCACACGTATAGGACTACGTCATCTGACAGCAGCGACATTACGGTGGGCATGTCGCCCGAATGCCAGGCAGTGTATAGCTTCTGTGCAGTTTCTACGGCGGCCATCTCTAGAATCTGCAGAGGGTTTTGAAAGAAGAAGAGTTAGTTGACAGATAGTAAGGATCCGCAGCAGAATGCGAGGGGAGGTAATTGGGTGACCTCATGAGATTCAAAACAGCATTTCGGAAAGTGAGAAAGTGACTGTTCAGCTGGCAAGCAGCGCCTTGTTGTGCGGCGTGTCTGTGAGCAGCAAATCATTACTCAAGTTATCTTTATATACTCTCTTCAAGCTCTCACTCCGGAGGTAGACAGGCAGTTGCATTGCTTCTGCTCCAACCTCTCTATGAGCTGAACCACATCCATACGTTCTGCCAACTGTGACTGGCCCGGCTTTCCTGACCAAAGCTAGGGACTGGGCACGTTATAGGGTAATGTCAAAAGGACCAATGATATGGGGGCCGAACTCCCCTCTACCAATCAGCAGCAAAATATTAGATGCTGCATAATTGACCCAAAGAAAGTGAATGCTCCTTATCCCCCTGAGGAAGCTAAGAATCAAATACTGAGTCGCATACTGACCCTAGAGGGAGGCTCATTGCCGAACCCTCAAAAGGTGCTGACAACAAGAATGGTGGGGGCTCCCAAACCCTAGGTCAAACCATATTCCCAAAAAAAGCGCACCCTCACTTCTGCAGCTCCTGAAACATTTTGCATATCATTTTCTGGAATCTGAGTAAAATCAGCTCCGAGACCCCTCCAGCTTCCAAGAATATGGTCTAGATCTTGACTTGGAAGAGAGGCAGAGGGTATTACTCTCACTTGTAGGTTGCTAGCACGGATCCTAGTGGGCTGAGCTGAACACCGTTGATCATTCGCTCACTGAAAATCAAGGGAAGCTGCACCCACCTTGAAATGCTAGAATGGTCCACCTGTAGGCCGGCTGATAAGCCAAGAAGCTCTGAAGCTTTCAATGGACTGTAGCACATGAAGGAGGGGTAAGCCACCTACGTGAGTAGGACAGCTCTTGTGAGCGTCATGCTTACATCGCGTATAATACATGCTCCTTGAACAGAAGAGCTAGCATTCTGTCTAAGCTCAAGCATGGCAGAATGCTGCAGTCAAGTGCCAGACATCTGCTCTGCTGAGCAAATGCTCATAGTCACCGGGCGATGTCACCAGACCAGCCATATATTTATCTGGCAGCGAGAGAAATCAAATAATCAAAGCTTACCTTCGGAAGCACAGATGCCAGAAGTGTGGCTGGCACTCACCTTTTAAGTATGGGTCGTACTTGCTTCACCAGATCGGTTGTTGGACAAATGCTGGGAGGTTTCAGTTCATGGAGGGTTTGAAGGTTCTGAGGAAGCCCCAGCTTCTTGCGTGCTCCTTTGATGCTGATTCTGGAAAATGGAGTGGGGCGGTCAAAGCTGTTGTTATTGTTACCGTACGCTTGCTAATCAGCAGTCGGGACGTCAAGCTTAGGGTCAGACTCAGCTCAGACTGCTTAGGAACTGAGATGACAGGGGCAACAAGCCCCTGGTCTTGGTGCTATACGAATGTTGAGAGGACAGGAGTAATATCAGCTAGCAGCGCAATCGACGTCTTCTTCATGTAAGCACTGTCAAGCACCGTGAACACTGACAGTAAGAAGCAGCAACGTGAACGTGCATTGAAGGCCCTGAGGCTAATGCCGGCTGTCGGCGCACGCGTTAGCCGGGATTTTATGCGGTGGCAAGCAAATGATGAGACTCGTAAATGCGGAGCCGGCGTGTTCGGAAGCGCCGTCGCGATCGAGGGATAGTACTCCATTATACACCGAGCATAATACACAGCTAGATAATTAAAGCTGCACGGAAGTGCCCACTTAGTACCAAGAAGAGCTCACAATGCAGGCCCCGGGAGTTAGGGGAACTTGGCCGGCCAAGTTCCCCCAACTCCCGAGTACATCCGGTCCTGCAGACTCCTAAAGTTCCGACTACTAGTAAACATATGTTCATAGTGGTATCCTGACTGGTATGTCCCGAATTAGGACAACGCAGAACTGCTGTGTACGTACGCGCTAGGTTTACGGTGACTGCAAGGCAACTCGCCACACGTATACCGTATTCTCAGCGGTATCATGTCATGCACGTGCACTGAACTGGCATGGCACGCGGCACGTCACCTGAACATATAGCCGCCATGCACGCGTGCATCATATTGATTTACTTGGATGCCAGCAAGCCCAAACTTGAAAGAGATGAGGCTGAGCTTAATATCTACTAGGGTCACTAGCGGCACCGCCTATCCCACTGCCCGCGGTCCCGGAGTCCCATGCCTGGCTGAGCTCTTAACAGGGATCATTGAATTTCATAGTTTTTTCGTTTCAATATTTTCCAGCCATCGAACAGGGCAGACCTTTGGAGTCTTGGGCTTTGTGCCGTCGCTACATAAGATGCCAATCACGGTCCGTACATGTAGCTAGCGGAGCAGATCAAATCAGCGATCATATTGTGTAATCATGTGGTCATTGCAACATGACAGCTAGGTAGTGGGCATGAGTCCGAGCATGGACTAGTAAAACAGCATGATCGGTTGGAGCGTGGCCACAAGAGGAGAGTTTTGCATTGGACGGCCTTACGCGGAATCCTTGCAACCTTCTACATGTTCCAGATTTGCGCAGGATTAATGTTCGACTTGGCACATGTTTTCCGGCCTTTTGCATGTGGCCCTCTTCTAATCATCGCATCAAGACACTGTGTTCTCAGCAGCTGAAACTGGGCTCGATCCGCAGACATCCTACCGCTGATGGGATGGAACAAAGTCGAGCACCCAGTCCTCCGGGCGGCCTCGCCTCTTCAGCGCCGCGCCTGCGTTTGCCGGGCACGAATCAGCGGCGGTGACGAGCTCCTTGTCGTCCCCAGCGCTACAGCATGGGCACGAGCCTCCATAGTCGACGTGGAGCATGTCGGGCTCGAAATCCTTCTGCAGAGGATAGGAATCTGCTGAATTCAAAATTCAGCGTGATTAACATGTTGTTGACATCCGGCCGGCGATTCTGGAGAGCGAAATACGTCGCTGGAGGTTGATAAGCACGCTTGACAGCCCGCGTTCTCCTGCTGCTCGGACATAGAGACGTTGCATAACAATCTGAAGCGACCCGTTTTCACTTCTCAAGCGCCGACAGGGTTCGGCGTCTGTGACGCACTTCCTTCAACGTTTGAATAGTTGGAAGCATGCTACCATCTATCAGAAGATGCAGCAGATCTGATCAGACGGCAAACAAGGTTTCCAGGTTGCATTCTCTGGTGTTGTAGGCTGTGTGCCGTACTGCACGTAGTAATTTGTTCCGTAGCCGAGACACTATTCAAAGCTGGAGTGAAGCTCTCAGGAAGCATTCACGAACAGTCAAAATCTCGGAGGATGTTGTTAGTCGGACCTAGGTAGCTTGCTGATACGGCCACATTGAGTGTTCCTCTGCTCTGAGTTCCGCACAAATCTGAACGTCGCCCACAGATTCAAACTTAACCCAGCTCCGTTGTCCAATCAAGAAATCGTGACTGACAGAATCGTGCTCAGCTTACAAAGTACCAAGGGTTGCGTAGGCGCTGTGTATTTTTATCTGCTGACACCGCCTCGTTTACGATAGACAGAAAAGGCCGAATGCGGAAAGAAGAGACATAAGGCGGGTCAAAGCTGACTCCCGGTTTCTGGCCCACATCCCTGTCTGGTAGGTCGATGGTCGGACGAAAACAGAATTACACTATCCTGCTGAGTACCAGGAAAGGAGTGTTTCGGCGGCCAAATTTCAAAACTTCTGATGAGAACCACAGGGGGATCTCCTATCAAATACGAAGGAATCTTAAGCCAGGCGGCCGAATGAACGCCTAGTTTCAATATCTTTCGGACTGGGGGTTCGTTGGGAAAGCGGAGACCAAGATCTGACTTCTAACGGCCGAAGAAAAATGACTGACCTGTAGATGTGACCGGTAGTTCCGCCCATACACCCCCAGCCGTTCGTTTGCTGCACAACAGAAAAACCCGTTTCAAACACCACTTTACCATTGCTTCTAGGGAATCCTGTTCCGAATTTCCGGTGTGGGCATTTAAACATATCGTGTTTCTGGCAAGTGAGCGGAAGAAAGTAATGAATAAAGTCTTCTTCATGAACGGTGACTCTGCTTTTACGGTCGGTTTTCCAGCTCCATCCCTCTGTTTCTTTCGCCGCGTGTTGACCTCAAATGCACAGCTGTCAATTGCATGATAATGCTGAGGTAGCATTGCACCGCTGCCTTCCGAGTCATGCACCGAACCTCGACAGCATCCAGACTTGGCGAGGCCGTCAAAGAGAAGAAAACTGCAATTCGCGAAAGTGGGGCAAGCAGGGGGACCGAGAAGCTGAACGAAAAGGCACGTTACTAAAGCATAAATAGATACTTTCACGACGGTCCGCTGAGAATCGAGCGGCTAAGATGGGTCTTCCTCTACGACTTTCAGAATGGAAGGACCAGACTCGAAGCAGAGTGTTCGGAAAGTGTTACGGGCAAGAGATCCATTGATGGATTCCGCTCTCCGCATTCGTCGGGAAATTTTGACACCGGAAGGAAGCCCTCAATGTCAACAAAACAGGCAACTTAAGTGCAGCCGGTGCAGGATGTGGTCGTTCTGATGTTCGTCAGGAAAATTTCGAAAGCGGCAAGACAATAAAAAGGTAGGTAGCGAACGGGGGAAGAGAGACGACAAAGTGGAGCTATGACAAACCTGAACACATAAAGGCATTGAGCATAACCGAACGGGAGTAGAAGGTAACAAAGGATCGTCTGATCAAGGCTCAGGGGTGGAGCCTCAAAGAATGGCTCAGAATTCTTAAAATAGTAGCCCGTATCCGTGTCCTTCATTGAGATGGGTTTACGAGACACAAGGCTGACGAAAACATTCGAGAAATCAAGGGTTCAACCGCGCCCCTCTCTCCTCCGTCTCTCCTTCGGAGAGCACATCATCCGAGTAAATGATTTCCCGGAAAATTGAACAGGCAGAGGGGAAAAGATGTTGAGAACGACACAAACGCACCTTCCTTCTCGTCGTACCCAATCACCCGCTTGAACACGCCAATCATCATGCTCAAGAGCGGAGGCACGTTGATGATGTATGTGTACCCTTGACGCGCTGCATTTAGAAACCGACCGCCAGATCAGTGTCTTTACTTCGCAGCAAGGGACCCTTTCTCGTCGACTGCCCCGATTTAATCGCCATTTTCATGCAGGCAACGGGCTGGCTAACGTCATTTTCGACCTTGCTGAAAGCCTCGTTACAACACTGGCTTGCACAGTCCAACGCCCGGTTTGTTACGCAGGATAAAGGATGCATACCGCATTGAATCATCTTCCCTCAGGCTAGTTGAGATCCCAAGGTCCGCTTGAAGTCGCTGGGAAGTCACTTTTAGTACTCGATTTGACAGAATCTGTTCAGCGACGATATCGAGATCCTGTTCTAAATCCGTTCGACGGTCTAGAACGGATGCACTGGTCATACTGTTTGCTGCATTTAGTATACCCGACCATCGACCGAAACCACGGTACCAGGGATCGAGCCATCAAACTGCTATTGGAGCCACGCAAAACCCTCCGCAAAAAACGGAATTGGAAAAGAGATTCAACCGTCCCCATGTTTCCGTCCTTGCTTCGAGATGTAGCTGGTTGGGCTCTCAGATTACAGGCTGGCCATTGTTTGTTACTACGTCTGTTTCGAACCTCTGCCGTTGTGAAGGTGACGGCTCTTGACAACCAGTAGAACACGCATTCAGGCTCTCAAAAGTAGAAGACAAACAACGATTCAGCTCCTCCGAAACTGCGACCAGACTGCTGACGTCATGCCAACCTGGGTAGTCCCGGTGGATCAGCTTGAACCCGTGCTTGAGCGCTTCCATTTGGGCAGTTCTGATTCTGCAAACAAGCAAAGGACAAACCACAGCAATTGCTACTCATTCTTGTGGCCGGACTGCTGACGTCATGCTGACCTGGGTAGTCCCGGTGGATGAGCTTGAACCCGTGCTTGAGCGCCTCCACTGGGGCCATCCTAGTTATGCCGAGCCCCTCCGCATCAACGACCACTGTCATCCGCTGGAAGCCCCACCCGCACTCGGGCCGCCAGAGACTGTTCTCCGCCAGCTCGACCATCGAATCTGCAAGTGACACATGTCAGCACCTCAGTCGTTGAGAAAGAAAATTCGGAATAGCGGTGCAGCGGCTTGTTGTTGCAAGAAGACATCTGCTAGCTGGACCATCGAACCTGCGAAGACTCGTGTCGGCATGTCAGACTCTTACAGCAGAGGCCTTGTCAGAGCGTGTGAGAATGATGGGGCCGCAATGGGCTGTCTTCGCAAGCTCGACCATCGAATCTGCAAGTGACACGTGTCAGCTTGTCAGTCCTTGAAAGCGGGTGAGCTTGCCTTGGTCGGAAGGCCGCGGAGTAGAGAAGATGCGGCAATGAGTCCGACGTTGAGTGGTCCATGAACACTGTGGCATCAACATGTTGCAAGCCTTGCAGCCGCCGGACAGGGAACAAGTTTATGGAGTAACGTAAGCATACTCTGTAGTGGGAATCAAATTGGTGACAGGGACCAGCCAAAAACTGAGATTGGACGAGCGGCGCAAAAGAAGGAAGGAGGAAGCGCCTTGAATCAGAGACTAAGACGAGTAGCACAGAGCCCAAATGAGGCGTTGATGAGATTAAAAGTAGGCACTCGGGCCCAAACGGTGCGATACAATCTGGCAGTCAAGTGTTCGAGAAAAAAGAATCTGGCAGTAAAGCGTCCCAGAGAGCAGCAAAGAACGTGGCTTGGTCACGCCTCAGAATGCAGACTTTTGCAGGCCGGAACACCAGATCGCCTAGAGAGTTAGCACAACAGACGTTTGCAGAGACAACATCGAAAGGAACGGCGAGAGAGCGGCAATGACTTACAAAGCGCGCAGCCCATTCGATCCTGCATGTGGCGGGGCAGAGTGCGGACCGCCAGGCCCAGCTTGCAGTACAGTACAGGTTGGCCCTTCTTGTCGGAACCATGCCAAAACACCAGGTCGCTCCAGGGGGGGGACATTAGCTCGGCGGCGCTCATGTAGTGCTGGTCCCCGTGCTCCGCCCGCCGCTGCACAGGGATGACGTCAGCACTGATGTCAGCGATGATGTCAAGATTGCGATAACTAATGGTGTTGATATTTGTGTGACCGATAGCGGCGGCAATGGGTGGATGCAACTGTGACCGACCATGTTGCCAAGAGGAGGCTGGAGCGAGTTATTTTTGGGAAGAACTTGGAGGAGAAAGACATTATTCTGCTGGACTCCCCGCAAACAAGTCATTAAGTCCTGAAAAAGGCTATGCTGCCGCAGGAAATAATTCTTCCGACAAGTTTGAATGGCCACATTGCTTCTTACTGAGATTCTTGAAGCATCACAGGGCGCCAATTCTAGTGTTACACAATCATGCATGATGGCTAACGTTTCATTTTTTTTGAAGCTGACTTCAAGGCAAATTCAGCCTGTAAGTATTTCATCCAAAGAAGTCCCTATCACCCAGCAAAAAGCAAGACGTCCAATCTTGAATCGATGAGCAAGTTTTTGTGAGGACGCTCACTGCTCGAAGTTGATCGGCCCACTGCTGTTCGAGGTCTTCCATCTCTGCTGGATCCATGACGCCGGGGGGCAACACAAACCGCCTGGACATCTCCGACAATGGTTTGACGGGGGGCTCGGCCGCAGCCAAGTTTGGGGGGGGAGTAAGGAGGAGATAATTGGTGGGGAGGTACAGATGGCTGCAGAGAAGAAATGCTCTTTCAACGGTTGGTGCATCGTATGCAGGTTGCTCAAAAGGTGGGCGGCAAGAAAACGTGACATTGATACTCAGCAAAAGGCGGAGGGCATACACAGGTCGGCGAATGCCGAAAACTTGCAAGAAAAGCAGGAAAAGTCCGAGCTCCTAACAGGCAGAGAGAAACTTGCACAACCCCTTTTTCCTCCACTCTCTATCTCCGGAGTCTTGCTTCACCTAATCTTTATCAGCTTGTTTCAACAGTTGAGAGTTATTTGGATGATTTTCGAGGACAAGATCATGAAACAAAAGGGACGCAAGTAGGGTTCTCTTCTTGAAGCTGAAACAATCAAATGCATTTGAGGATTTTCAAGTTCTTCATCAAACACTATGGCCTACCTGTCATTCTCGTCCGTGCTCGATCCGGTGTCGCTATGCATTCCCGGCTCGCCCAGGTCCGACGAACTACTTGACCGGGATGACATCGGGCTGACCTCAGCACCCCCGTCCACGCTCCTGTATCGGAAGCCCCCATCAAGCGACAGACTTGAGGGGCTGTACTCCAGTGAGAAGCTATCCGTCTCCCACCGCCGACTATGTACATTTGTTAGGGGGCTCGCTTCGTTGATGTCCAACTGCGAGGGTCTTGATCTCTCTCTCTTTTGCCGGGGGCTAAGGCCGGGATCTGCTGACGTGTTCGCTGACACGAGCAGCCCGTGCGCTGACGTCACAGGGTCGCCACCAAGTGCATCATCAGCTCTCGACTCTCCGAATCCACCTGCCCCATTGAGTTGCTCGCAATGCTCTTGCGCCTGACTACTGCTCAGTGAGCTTTCTGAAGACATCTGTTCTGCACATTCTGTCGAGGAGGATCTGGGAGAGGGGTGTTCACTCTGACTGAAAACCTCGTTATCCTGCAACCAGTCTGGAGCGGTTAGGTCTAGCAGGAAGTGCTTCCTGGTAAAGTGTCCCCTTCCTGCTCCCCGCCTACTGCGTTTCCTGCGCCTGTACGTTGCGGGAAGCACGCCTGGAATCTCCCTTGGTTCTAGTTGCTGCGGTCTCGGTGTGGGCACTGATGTTAGCAGAATGAACGCTATTTTAGGGACATGCCTCAGGGGATGCGCGAGCAGTCCTACTGCGCGGAGGGGCAAGAATGGGATGGTGAGGGGGAAGGGAAGTACAAAGATCCTGCCTCTAGTTGCATCAATGGATCCTCTACACTCTGCAGCTGGTCTGGCGTCATCCTCGCTGACACTGTTCTTGCAGCCTTCGGCTTCCAGAAAATCGAACTGCAGCCTGACTCTAGTTCCATCCCTGGGTGAGAGATTGGGACTATGTGCTTCTGCTTCTTGATCAGTGCTTCCCTCCCATACCCTCTCATCTGCGCATACCCAATCACCCGCGCATTCGTTGTCCGCTACACATACCGATGCATTCCCGCAGCCCCCATCCTCCTGACTGACCGTGACATCCTGGGGAGGACTGTCGATTATTTCAATTGGCTCTGAGGAGTCTGTCCCTGAACCTTCTGGTGGACAGGGAGACTCCCCCTCATATACCGCGCCGCCGTGAGCTGTCTCTTGGCCAGCCCCCCCGACTGTAGCTACAGAGTGTGCCACTATGCGATGCCGATCCGGGGCAGAGTCCCTATCCAGCTCTCCCAGCACACAGGTTGAGATTATTTCTAAACTGAGGCCGCATGCCTCATCTGTCGAGCCGCGATTGACAGGATCAGAGGCATTCCATTGTCCAAAATGCACTGGTGCTAGAACCCCCCACTGCTCAGAAGTTGTGTGGCCATCACTAGGTTCCCAATAGCTGTGATCAGAAGTCAGATCTATGAGAAGAGGATTCTCCACCTCAAATTGATCAATCTGGATGCTGACAGAAGCTGCATTCTGAGCAGATTCGGATCTCTCATCGAGCAGAACCTGCGTCGCACCCTCTGCGTGCTGCAAGAATCTCAGCTCCTCGCTCCAGTCCCAAAAGCCACCACCTCCATCCATCTCCCAAATGGAGGGGCCTAGCTAATCGAACAATCGGTTTGATCACGGATGGGAAGAAGAGAATGGAGGAGAAGCATCTCCATTCCCTGCATAATTTGGAAGACGCACCAATGCGCCTGAAGCTCTTGATCAGCCTCTGATCTGACACGTCCAGCGGCCAGCCTGACACAGAGAGGGCAACTTTTTGAACTTTTTGCTCTGCGCACTTCTTGCAAGAAAAGATTCTTCCGATGATCTGTTTCCTCTTCGCAAAGGAGTCCCCGGCGGGCCCTGCATTGCATGGACCGGCCGCCTGCGGACCAGCCGGGGTGCGGCAACCCGGGCTAGGGTTATCTTGAGAGCTTCATTGCCCAGTCGACTTTATGACTCTAATACCGTATAGTACCGTATAACTAGATGTGGTTTTCCCACTCGGTAGTGTGCCTCCGGCACCGGCTCATCTCGATCTGCGCCCGGTTCATTTTCTTACTGGTCCTGCATGCACATCCGTGAATTTTAGTTAGCCTCTAACCAGTCCCTATCAAGCGAGCCGCCCAGCAGATTTGCCAGGCTCCCTTCCCTTCTTACGGTACTGAAACCGCTATACCGAAAATGCGGGGCGGCCCCGCTGAAACCCGGTCGGGTTATGTAATGACGTTATCAGATTCCGGCTCCACAACCGTACGATGGTTGAAAGGGGCCAGGTGGCCCCACGTTGGCAACTCAAATTCAAAATTGAAAGCGACTCACTTCACAGTTCAAACAAGCTTTGAAGTTTCGTATGCGCTTTCTCTGTTCAGCTGACTTTCACTGCGCGGGTTCCCCCTCCCTTTCCAACATTCCTTGCAGGAGATCCGGGCAGCCTACCACGCTCGCTAGACTGGCAAGAATCAGAAAAAAATATATGGAAGCGGCATCAAGCTCTTGGTCCAGGTCAGTGACGAACTTTTCTATTGCCCCCTTGTTTAACAGGTGCGGAGACTCTTTTGGTGCAGGAGATGCAGCACCTGACAACCTGAGGCTGATGTACCTACTTATTAAGTCGTATAGTCAACAGTTGCAGCTCATCTCAATCGGAAGATCCCTCTCCCAAGCTTTCACAACTGCATTGATATCGAATGAGCACGACTTAGTCGTGGGCTTTGTTCTGGTGAGCTGCCTGACACTGGAACCATCTGTTGTCCTTGAGCATCCTCGCCTGAACAAAGGATGGACACCTCAAGCTCCGCAGAGGCGGCAAAATCCAGGGCTCCAGCGAAGCACGTCCTCCGGACTTGTGCCCTTTTGAGCATCCTCTCATTCTCGTTGCTCATTGAGGGTACCACCCGGGTCAACTCGGTCGCGAGCACTCCCTCTGGCAAGTGGTTCAGCAACTACAAAGACTTCATTCCGTTTCTGGAGATCCTCGCCTGGTTGATCCTCCTGCTTATGGGCCTTGGCGGCCTGGCTATATCGCTCTCTATTCTCCTCTTTGATGTCGGACACCCCAAAGCGACTCTTGTTCTGTTGGTTGTCCAAACTCTGGGTTGGTATACTCTCATCATTGAGCTGTTCTTTGCCGACGAGGGCTCCTACGGCCAGAGCCGAGCAGGCTTGTCAGGCACCCAGTCCAATACGTTAGATGCAATGTCTGTGATCAGTGGTGCCGCTTATTGCACAGCGCAGCAGGGGGGTTCATTCCTCTTTGCTCTGCAGCTGTATAAGCTGCAGACTGGGAGAGCAAAGGAAAAGGGTGGTGCGCTCCGGGGACGCTTGGGCTTCTACAGGTCAGCACCAAGATTCTATTTCCGACACTAAGGCTTGCTGTCAATCAGGTTGCGTCGCACGAGAAAAACCTGCGTCATACAGAAGTGGGTGGTCAAAGTCTTTGAAATGGCCCTCATACTTGCTGCCTCCGTGCCTATAAAGCTAACGGTGGGCGTCTGAAAAAAAAACTGGTTCTCTGGACCAACTATACTTGGACTGTTTCCTAACACCAATCTCGAGAGTTCTGGCTTGCTTGTCTCATAAAGAGCGTTCAAGTGTGATGCGCTTCGGAACGTTACTCTCGAGAATTCTGTACCATCTTTGCCCAGATTTGCCCTCAGACGTGTATCTTGGTGAATCAACGGTTGATGATGCTTATAGGTAATCAGGACAAGTGAGATCGCTTTGACCCTACCTGTTTGGCTGTCTTCACTTAAAGGAGCTGTTTGCATTACTAAGATTGTCAGTACCACCATGATGAGGGTCATTGTGGAGCTCAGTCGTGCGGAGTGCCCCTTGAGGGGTCAACCACACGGTTCCAGTTGTTAACCACCCTCTTCCGTCGTCTGCAGTCTACTTGTCCTCCTTGTGGGTGCTTGCGAGATCGTCATGGGCTCCATTCTCCAACATACGTTAGGCACAGGGCGATATATACAGCCAATCGTCGCGGGATGGCTCGTCAGCTATCATGCTTGGACGAACTTATTCGTCGGGGTCTTCTTAACCCTCTGGGGCGGTTGGGGCGTAGTGAAAGCTATTGGGTTTAGAAAGCCTGGAAACCCTGGCCCGCCGTTGGGCTTCGTTGCCATGGGGTTGGTAGCATTCTTGCTTGAGATAAGCATTCATGATATCAGTAACGTTGGCCTGGGATCTGAGCCGATACAAGTGATTGGCACACAACTGGTGGGAGTGATGTTTTGCTTGTGCTTCCTTCCAATCTACGCAAGTGTTGCTCTTGATAGACATGTGGATTGGGAACGTCAAAGCGTTGAGGATCTCGAGAGCAAAGAACATGACATTGCCCTTGCTTAATCATGTAAAACGGGTCCGATTGTAAAAATTGCAAGAAGCAGATTGATCGTAAGCTGCTTCAGTATTACATAGACCTTCATTTTGGTAGCTCCGGCAACTTGCTTCTCGATGTACCATAGCAGAGCAACTTCGAACATGAATGTACTTTGGCCGTTGTCTTCCATCCTGTAGCCTAAGACACCCACTTGAAACTTTTGCAAGCCATACGATGATCTGGACCGGACTGCCGTACTCGACTCGTTGCCAGCGCAGTGGCATGTCGGATGATGTGGTTCCAACAATTCAATGCATTAATTTCTGAGTCGACAGGCACTTATATACTATGATTAGCAACAATGTTTGCGATCCAAACCCATTGTAGCGAGTCATGTCGGACGCGTTCCGAAAACATGCCGCCATATATTAAAGTCGACAGATTGAAGCATGCATGTTAACGGTTGACATGGTTCATATCAGCTTTGGCCTCTCTATATGACTTTGCAATGATGCCGCCGCATGTCATGATCGCTTCATAACATCGATCATAGTCAACTAGCTCGAGAATGATCGGATCGAGATTTGAACGCGGGCCAATCAGAGATCAAGTTCATTCGATCACTTAGCTAGGATCAGATGAAATCATATGTATATTCGTTCGTGTCAAACTCACCGGCCATCATCATCAGCTAGCTTGGGTGAGACGGTCCGGTCGCGTATAAGTTGACAGTAATACAAACAAACGAAGCCTGTGAGGTTTCAGTGGTTGATACTCACTGAATTAGTTTCGAGACACAAGTGCACAAATTACGTACACGATATCCATACGGGCTAAAAACTACTTTCCGAAAAAGCAAAATCCGACTGCTTATCCGAAATTTCCAACTTTCCGAACGCAAATCATTATCTATCTATTCGGAATCATACCTTGGTCGTACGGTATGTACATACACGGTAAGCTCAGTAATCCTTGCTTTCGAAGGCTAAGAACGTCATTAAGGGTTCTGCTTTAGCGAACCACCATACTCAAATACCTCCTATCTCAGGTCGAAGACATCTCCTTCCAAATAGGGCCATACTCAGGAGCCATTTAGCTGTTGCTTGAGTTGTTGTTGTTCTCGTTCCCGGTCTTCTCAAAGAGCTGGTAGTCTATCGAGAAAATAGCGGCCAGCAGCATGGCCCGATCCGTTTCGGTGGCATCCGGCGGAAACTCGACGATGAAGTTACTGCATGCAACACGAGGTAAAATATTTAGTTTACCAGAAACTTCTGCCAATCGATTACTCGTCCGGAATGTCATCCGCACCTCTGTGATGACATCACCACAGTAGATTGTCAACCCGCTGCTCATGAGACAATGATCACGGGACAAACTGAGCCATCGAACTCGGCAATCTTTGCTAAAGGCGCCAATCGTGGACCCAACATTTCTGAAAAGAACGCCGGATTCCTCGGAATAGGGTAGGTTGGAATCTGAGGCAGCACATATCAGATGCTGGTTATTAAAAACTCGAGACGAACGTATAATCCGGGTTGAACGGATACAACGTAAGATCCCACAATCAAGCACACTCATACTAGATGACGAAGTAAAGCCGAATCAAGCAAGCCTCTTAGAAAAGTGAACCCTTTTTGGCGGTGAATCTGTCTTGGCCCAAGCATCGGTTTGGGCTTTCGTAATGAACACGTCTATCAACTCCAGTAGTAGAAGAGGGTCTACAGGACCCTTATCCCCCAGGCTGACGTCACGCTTCCTTAAGTACTGCCGTAACCTTGGAGCCAAGCACGTCCCTGTCCGGAAGGATGTCCTTTACATGAACCTAAACCCAGCAACGTAATCGCCGCTTTCGCCGCGCACATCAGTATCTCTCCCTCAACAAAAAACCTAAGAATAGCATCTTAAATAGCTTTTCCTCGGCAAAACAACGAATCTGAAAAGTCCCGCCAGAAAAGGCTTGTTATTGTACAAAACTGGACGATTCTCGTTCGGACAAACCCACCTGAACTGCCCGAGGCAGCGGCAGAACGCGCTACAATCATTGGACGGCGCATACGTCTTCTGGATGGTCGCGACCAGCTTGCCCTCCTTGTCCAGCACGTCAATGATGAGGTCATCCTTGAGACACGTGGCGCCGCAGCAGTTGTTGACGCGGCCGCAGCAGGCCATGCCGACGCGGAGCGTGTACTTGTGGGTCAGGCTGGGGGGGCGGCCGGTGAGGACATTGGTGTAACACGTCCACAGGAAGCAGTACTGGCAGCAACTGCGAGTTCGGGGTTACCGAGTTTTGGGTTCAGGTTTCGACTTTCAAGGGTAGATTTGGATGTGCGAGGCAAGAACAGAATCGAGCGACCGCGCCCTCAAAACTTTGTAAACATTTCCTGGGAAGCAGCACTGGCAGCGACTACAAGTGGGGGACGGCTTTGCTTTGACGTCGAAGGGTTTACATCGCTACAGATACACTCTAACCGGGTTTACATCGAGAACGTCTCGGGCCACGCTGGGCGGTTGCCTGGTTGTTAGGAAGCAGCACTGGTAGCAACTGCGAATGGCATACAGGATTCAAGTCTTAAGCTCAACCATTGCGTGTCTGGGAAGACAAACATCACTTCAGCAACTCAGGCTGCTGGCTGATTACCAGATGTCGGAGTGACTTTGTTGTCAAGAAAACATGTCTGGATTCAGGGCTGGATTGTAAGTTTGGACAAAAGCTTCAGAAAACATTTCAGTGCTCAAAAAGAAAGAAGAAGCGAAAGGCGATGCCAATAGCTATTGCAACCACTATTGGGAGAAAAACGTCGTCAGCCAGTCGATGAGGCACTGGTCCAGAATCACAGGGCAACAGATAAGATGAGGCGTTTTTAGAAAGTTAGCTGCAGCTCAAATACGGATTGCTCTTAGATTCAAGAGCAATAACACACTAGAGTCGGGAGCTCGTCGTGCCGCACTCATCAGGACCCGCAAAACGGGTTGCAACTTTCCAGCACCTTCTTGAGCACTCCGGCCCGTGCAAGAGGGCGTTTTCACAACATAGCGGTCAAAGACGAAGCTACCTTGAAAGGAAGCTACAACCAAAAAGACGGGGTTTGTGAAAGAGGTGACAACTAGAATCGAGATTCATTATGTCGCACATACCGCGGGCCGCAGAACTGGTTGCTGTCCTTTAACATCCTTCTCAGCACATGTGGCACAAGAGGTCTTTCAAAAACGTTGAGTTAATCAGAAACTGCAGCCACAAAGAAAGGCTTTTAAGTACAAGGTGACAACTAGAATGCTTTTTAAGCACGCACCGCAGGCCGCAGAATGGGTTGCAATCGTCCAGCACCTTCCCACGCACGTCCGGCCCACGCAAAGAGGCGTTTTAAAGAAACGTTTAAGGAGGAAGTACCAACTATGATGGGAATTTTCCCCTGCGGCTTACCGCGGGCCGCAGAACGGGTTGCAGTCCTCCAGCACCTTCCCGAGCACCTCCGGCCCGCGCGTCATCGTCATCTCGAGCGGGCAGCAACATCCGCCACCCATGCGGAACGGCCGCTGAACCGTGTAGCTCTCGCCCCCCCCCTCCAGAAAGTGTAGCTTGAGCGGCCTCAGGTTTGCGCACCCCAAGCAGGTGAAGAGGCACCGGGTGCAACAGCCGGAGTCTTCCTCAACGCGCATCAGGGTGGGGAGGGCCTCGAGCTCCTCGCCCTTCGGGCGCCACCTGTCAAGGAATCAAACTGATTCAGAAGTTACTTGAGACAAGACCTATAGGTCAAAAAGTTACGAGCCAAAAATCTTAAAGGGACGACTCTACAGTCAAAGGTCTACGTGGAAAAACCTATTATGTCCCTGATCTATGAGTCGCTGGTGCTGAGTTCTATGGGGGCAAGAGGGACGTTACAGGAAAGCAGCCGCGTGTTGCGCACTATTCATCGAGGCCACTAAGTATGTTTGAAATGCTGCAAGTCTGCTTCACAGGAAGGTATGGCTGCTAAACAGGTTTGATAACCAGAGTTCAGTGTGGTTCTTTGACCAATAACCTCGTTATAGCCATGCTAAAAGCATGGTTACCGCTTGAGTCTGGTTATTGGACAATCAACCAGCTTTGAACCAGCCCGTAAACAACTAATTTAACCGCCGAGAATCCATGTGCTTCTTCAGGACGCTGTGCTTAAACCACAGGGTCCTTCCAGCATTGGGTTTTCAAAGACAGTCTTTGAGCAACCTTCGCTTTGGGCTGCAATACCCAGGCCCCCTAGCTTTCAATTTATTGAACCTTTTCAAGTGAGCCTGGTTCTAGAGTTTATTGAGGAGCTAAATTGCACACCGGCACTTCTCTACGATGCTGATCCAAACAACACTGCACTCCAATGTCCAAGTTTGTACTAAAGTTCGGAAGCGCCACCTGTCAGGAGTCTGCAGGTGGTCGCGCGCCGCGCGCCTGCCAGGTGGCAGCGGAGCGACCTTGTACTTGTTGGCCGCCTCGTAGGGGAGATCGAGCGCAAGTTGGGCGATCATCTCGAGCCACTGAGACTCCTGCCGAATGACGACGCCGGGAAGCGCATCCAGTCTCGATGTCATCATCTGAGGGGTGGGGAGAGAAGATCTTGATTTTTAAAGAGCTGATTAAGTGAAGGTCTATCACGTTAAGCGCATCCCTTGAGCAAGCATTGGGACTCCTAGCGGATAAAATACCTGGGGAGCCTATCCAGTCTGTGGTCATCACCTGAAGGAGGGGGTAAAAAGCAAACAGTTGTATTACACTGAGCTCATTTAGAGTCCTAGCTTGGAACAATACCTTCAGTGGCGCACTCCAATCAAGATTGTGAGAGGGATCCCTGATAATGCCGACACCGGGCAGGGCATCAATCAGTCTCGTGATCATCATCCCAAAGGGGGCAAAGAAGAATCGTATTGAAGCAACTCACGCATATGGTTGTCGTGTCTCATTACAATGCCGAAAAACAGGTTCCGAGAAGGGTGGATTGCGTTGCATGATCTCAACGAGCTGATTGGGGATATAGTTGTGGATTTAAGCAAGTCCCTCGCAAGAAAGTTCACCACAATTATTCCTTCAGTAAATTGCTCAGATCAAGATCGTGATGGTGTACTGAAAGCTCAGTGGAGCTGAGGAATAGAGGGCTTCAAGAGCAGATTCATGGCAAATGAAAACTCAATTGAGCAGTCTTGAAAGATCCAAGGGCAGCACATGAAGGCCTAGAAATCGAACACAAGTCAAGAAAGCATCTGCTGGTTTGTAGTAGGTCTTCAAGGAACCAAGCAAGCCAAGTGCAAATCTCTGCATGAAGAAAAGAGCCCCCAACACTAGAATACCTACATTGCCTTCGACAAAGCAAGAGATCACTAGCTGCCAGGCCCAAATGAGCCTCCAATCACACTTCTGTTATCCAAGCCGTTCCTTTAGCACTTTGTTTGGACAGGAGCCAACAATGCAAACTGCTGCAAAAGCAAAGTGAGAGCAGAAAAGTAAATGCACCTGAATGGGGGGAGCTTGCATCAGGGGGGCATTGCCATTGTAGGGGGGATACCCTGGTTGTTGTGGCGGGTAGATTCCGGCTTGCTGAGGTGGGTAACCTGCTTGGTGAGGGGGATATCCCGCTTGTTGCGGCGGATACCCTGCTGGTTGCTGGTCATAACCTCCCGGCTGCTGGGCATAACCTCCCGGCTGCTGGGCATAATCTGCCGGCTGCTGGGGATAACTCGCGGGTTGGGGGGGATAACCTGCCGGTTGTGGGGCATATCCTGCCGGTTGCTGCGGGTACCCTGGATGAGGTGGATACGTCTGTTGCTGTTGAGGATAGCCTGGCTGTTGGTATGGATACCCTGCGGCCCCCTGGTTGGGCTCCATCTGACCGGACTATAATACACGGTTGCAACTGTCGTTGCACAATACTTACGAACCTAGTCACCTTGTCGGTTGCTGAAATGCAACTCTCCAGCCTGTTAACCAGCAGCTACAACAGCAATGCGGCACTTTGCCGCCCTACCGTGGCAGGGCCGTGCGCAGGGCACTCGAACGTCTTTTTGCAAAGTCCTGATGGTGATTTCAGCAGGTTTCGGCCAGGTCCGCCAGCTTTGTTAGGGGCGACTCCCACAATTAAGCGGAGCTGCTGTGCTGCTTGTGCGTCTACAGGGAACCGCGAGAAGAGCAGCAGAGCAGCAGGAACAGCTGGTGCGGAGCCAGCAGACTCTAGGGCGCACCACGCGACAGGCGCAGCAACGACAGTGCGGCGCCCGCAGAAAAGACGAACAGGAAGTTGGAACTTGGATTCGCCATGAATGATGACGCATTGCGCACCGTTTCCTAACGTACTGTGTCAGGACTTTCAGAGCTGGGGATGGGGACCCTCTGGCACATGGTGGACTCGTAGGTATTGCGCGGCATTGGTTCTCAAAGACTGGCACTGAATCTTCCCACCCCTTTTTAAATCCTAGATGTCGTCACATTGTCAGAGGGATCCCGGATTGAGTCTTGACCTCAAGAGCGGGGTCTAGGAGAGTTAGTACTAACTCTGGGACCGGCCCGGGTGCCGGGAAGGGCTGACCTGGCGGGGTTTAGGGGCGAAAGTTGAAACCCTGGGCTACCGGGTTCGTCTGGTTCGTTAAATTAAACCAATCATTCGGGAGGTGAAGCCCGGCCGGTCAAAACCCTGAACCTTGCCACGGCAGCCCTCCAGCAGCATCCCCGGCGGGCGGCCGCAGTGGCCCGAAATTACTGATTCTCCTTGACTCCGCTCCCACGTAGTATGACGTCAGCAAAGTGGCTACTGATGAACGATTCGGGTTTGGGATCTGATTCGGGTTTGCAGACCACTGTGACATCGGCGGGCGGCCGTCTGCTATTGAATGGAAGATTCAAATGTCGATCTCACCGTCGTGCAACCACGTCCATGCAGAGGAGACTTGCTAGCTTTTGCCCGGGTCACCATTTTGTCTCGATCGGTTCCACACTCGAAAGCAATCTCGAAATAATAGCCAGGCTCGGGAACCATGTGAAGCTGCAGCCTCCCATCGACTGTCCGTTGCTTTCTAAAGAAGCAAGTGGTGTCTTTGCGACGAGCATGCCGGCGTAGTATTTCAGAGCCCAGGCCGACGGTGCAGTAAATTGCCTAACCACGTCTGCGACGAGACGAGCACTCGAATTTAGGCTATTTTCCCGGCTCACGAGGCGCCTGAAAAGTCTGAAACAGGGCGTCTAGGGTCCGGCTTTCCGTTTCGGGCGACCTACTAGGGGAGGGTCCCCCCCGACGGGTCGCTCGAAAGGGCATGCGTTGGTCCAAACCGCAGCGACCCGAAAAAAGCAAAGGATGTGTAAGGCTTGAAGGGCCACGTGGGTAAACACCCGTATCAGCGTAGGCTTGCACCGAAGCTCTTTAGAAGTGAATGCAGGGCCGCAACGAGGATCTAAAGCTGCTTTCGTTCAATGGTACTAGTCCACCGTCTCGCTTAGTAAATAACAAAAGGGGTGAAAAGATCAAAGCACGCAAACAAACAAACCCGTGGAGGCCAGTCGTAGTTTGGAGAAGGGGCAGTGGGCGATGCCGAACCGGTTGTTGCGGAATAGCTAATTGACCTTTGCGTCGTCTCTTATTTCGTTGCATACTTTGCTTCTGTTGTTAGTAATCGTTTATGCACAATCGAGATGGCTGAGAGATGACGTCAGGTAGCGCATGCCCGCTATTGAGGTCTGACATCAATGAAACACAGGATTTTTTGGCCCTTAACCAAGGACGGTTCTGGGCAGGTTAAAATCTGGTTATCTGTCCAGTAGCCAGACTTGGGCGTTAAACAGCCTCGGAACAAGGTTGAAGCCCCGGTAAGCTGTCCAATAACCCAACGCCCAAGTCTGGTTACCAGCCTGGTTAGCAGCCAAAACTTCCTGTGAAACCGCTGTGGACATTTCGGCCAGCGTCAGGGCAGCCAGGGAAACGTCGAGTCGGACAGAACGACCGATCGACTTCGTTTGTGTACTTCGATGTATACAAACCGGACAATTAAGGTTTTGCGAAGATCATTCTTGATGTACATAACTCACCGCTCAGTATACAGTACGTGAGGGTTTAAACCGCGAACCGTCTACCACAGCTGCTGCGGATTTTCCAGCACGAGCCCACGCTCACTTTCAGAATGTCAGGGGACCACTTGTTCCCGGCGCAACCAACTCGCTGACGTTCCGCTCTGACGGTCGCTGAAAACAGCACGTGCCACGAAGAGCTCAGAGGATCCTATCACGGACCTATGGCTGCGTCTTGGTCAGCCACGTGGCGAGACGCCCTCATGAAGCGCTGAGAATGTGATGTCAGACCTCTGATTACAAATGCAAAAGGTTGTTAGAAGTGAAACGGGGAGAAACAGGGGCCGATAAGAAAGTCACTCTATGTACTTTTGGGGCCTGCATCCGTACGACTTTAGGCAGAAGTCGATGTCCTCCTACAAGTATCGAAAGCGAAGCGTTAAACCGGCCCCGCAGCGGAAACCAGGAGCCACTTGGAATCGGGTCAAGGCCTGATGAGTACGTCCTTGCAAAAGGACGGAACCAAAATGAGACCGGAGATGAAACACAAGCGGAACGTACCTTTTGGGTTGGTCTAGTTGAACGCCGAGCAGGGCGCCAGGCCCATCCGCACTGCCGCGGAATACCTGGCGGAAGTACAGAAGCAGAATCAGGCCGGAAACGGTATTACGCGGAAGCTGCGCTCTGGATGAAGTAGCGGTGTTTTCGACTGTGAAGCAAAAGCAGGGCGCCAGGCCCATGTTCGTACTAGCAAGAAAGACTTGCAGACTCGGAAGCACGGGACTGGAATATACAACGGAAGCGGAAATCGAGCGGGACGTACTTCTGAGCTTATAGTCTTGCCGCAGGAAGAAAGTGAATATTGTTGATTGTGGATGGAGAAGGAGGCGGCAAGCCCATCCGCAGCATGCCGTACCTAGTAGAAGAACAGAACCGGAGTGAGCCCGGAAGCGGAAACGGAACGGGAGACAGCTATGGGGACAGTCTTGCCGCAGTAGTAAAGTGGCTGTTGTGGATTTAATGGCAAACAGGGCGTCGAGTACCTGACAGAGAGGAAACAACCACAACGGTCCAAACGGTATATCCAAGGTAAACGAAATATGGAGCGAGTTGATCAAAACGTTGGTGCGTTGGCGCTTTTGTCGTCTGAAATGAACAACAAGGAGCCAGGCCGACCTGCGAGTAAAACAAGTGAGACAGATTACGAGCAAGTCACGACGGCTTACTGACAAGGACGCAAAACGAAACAAATTAAGACCAGACGATACATTGAGTGTAATAAGGTACACCTAGCTAGTGAAAGCGAAGTCTTCTTCCTTTGCGTTGTCTTATTGTCGCGAGCGCAGGTGTAGCGTCTTCTTCCTCGCATACTTTATCGGGGGGGAGCCCGCCCTTGCTCTCAGCTAGCGTGATTGGCCCCCTGGTAGGAGGGAATCGCATGCTCATCTCGAGCGTCTTGAGAGTCTCTACATGGTACGTCCGCAAAATCCCAGAATTGATTGGTACAGTAGATCCTGCCTCTTCGCGAAGTTTACACAAGATTTTGTTTTCTGACTATCAAAGATGGCACAGAACTCCCTTTCTGACGGAGACTCTCCCCTTCTGCCTTACTCCTGCACGAGCCAATGGTGCAAGTCACATCAAACCCACTGTACGTCCAAATGATGATGGTCAAATCGCTCGAGGCGCCACGTCGATCACGAAAACCGCAAACCGCGTCGCGTTGACAGTGACTACGAAGTCGTTTTCCAAGCTGCTGACATCAGCTGTACGTCAGCGAGTTTGACGGCGAGGAGCTAGCTGCTATTCTCTGTACAGCTGTCCAAGACTCCGGCGCACTCATTGCCCCCGCACTCAATGCGCAGTGAGATAGAGTCAAAAGCAGCTGCCGCTATCGCTTCAACTGAAAGCTGCGAATAGAAGGTCCTTCACAGTATAGCCAATCCCCTCTTATCGAAAAGAGTCAACTACTCGATTCTAGAGAGGCTTGAGTTACAGATGGTTGTGTGCTTGAAACTTTGCGGTTTGCTTCCACAGTTGGATCTCTAAACGTTCATAAACCAGATAGAACAGTATGAGCGTAGTACGAGCAATTTAAACCGCTGAATGTGTGGTCAAAAACCCCTCCCGAACTTCCAAAAGCTGACGTACGACTGTTCTTCCTCCATATGTTTCGGTGTGTGCAGTATCTTTCACCACAAGTTGCAAGCTTGCGCGAGCGGAAGTAGACGCAAGAGGAGCCGGAAACCGGGCAAGCGCCCAGGTATTTCTGGCCATTTAACCCATATAGGGTCATGGGCTGGCTATGGGCTGGTTAAGAAGTGGTTATCAGTACGGGAAACCAGACTTGGGCGGTAACCAGCCCTTTAAAATTCACACAAGGTGAAGGCGTGGATGTTTAACTTATTGTCCAATAACCTGAGACTCAATTAACTTGTGGTTTCGTTTCAGCCTGGTTAGCAGCGCTAGCCCAATCGTTCCTGTGCGCGCGCGAGGGGGCTTGCTGTCACGCCATCAGAACTCACGGACGCAGGTTGACATTGAAGCTTTTTACTGACGGTAAAGGGTTCGGGGCCCGGGCGCAGCCGAAGGCAAAAAGGGACTCGGGTCGAGTCAGATCAGAGAACGCCTGCCTTTCGAAGCCAGCCCAAACTGCGAAGCCAACGTTCAGGGCGAGATGCGGCCAATCCGGGCAGTTTGACGTCCATACGAGATGCATGCCTAGAATCCTAGCAGGCCCTAGCCTGAGGTTATAAATGCTTTCAAACCGTTTCGAAACAGGTCTTCAAAACCGAAACCGCCGAACAAGGGGCTCCGGTTCGGTGGGTCACGGAAGTCACATCGCACATTTCAATCTTGACTGCAGGTGCGCTTGGAAAAGAGTATGGTGCTTGATGCGCACCCGCACGGCTGCAGCTGACTTTTTGACTGCGAAGTTTCAGCATCTTTTACCAGTCCTTTGACGCTGCCCTCGGATCTAAGCTGCAGCTCCGAAATCGCTCAAGCCCAAAAGCGCAAAAGACGCTGCAATCACTTCTCTTCTGACGTCTATGAGATGCCAAGAATGATGAGAGGCCCCGGGCCCGGGTTTTGACGCATCGAACCGGTTCGGAACAGCTGTTTAAAAACGAATCTGCCGAATAACGGGCTCCGTTGGGTCATAGACGTCACGTCATCGCACACTCCAAACACGATCGGCTGACTGGCGGGGTTTGTACGTTCGAGGAGAGTACACTGCTTCATGCATCCGACAACGTTGACTCTTTGACTGCGTTTTGGACTGCGAGGTTTCAGCAGCTTTAATCAACATCCTCTGAAGCTCCACACAGATCTGTCCCCTTTCAAATACTTTGTCCCCTGGTTGCAGCTCTCAAAAAGCGCAAGCCCAAGAAACGCAGAAAGCGCAAAAACCGCGAATGCGCGAAGAAGCTGCCATCCCCATCTTACTTCAATCTTTCCGAAGGTTCTGAGAGAGCGCTAGTTAACCTCAAGACAAACGCAAAAGATCGTTGTCCGCTATCGTTCGGCTGCAGAGAAACGGGTGTGAAAACGGGGTCCGAGTTTTTAGGCAGCGTTCAGTGCGAGATGCGGCCATGCAGAGCTTCTTGACGTCCATATGAGATGGCTCTTGAGAATTATTGCAGGCCCATGAGGTTATGACGCAGCGAAACGGTTCGGAACAGCTGTTGGAAAACGAAACTACCGAACGGAGGCTCCGATCCATTTGGGCCATAGAAGTCACATCGCACACTCCAATCACGATCCGCTTTAAAGGCGCGGCTTGAAGTCCAGTGCTTTCCTTCGTCCCCGCTCGGTTGCAGTTGACTTCCTGACTGCGGTATTTCAGCATCTTTCTTCAATTTCCTTGGATGCTGCACTTAGATCTGTCCCCTGGTTGCACTTCTCAAAAAATCCAAGCTCAGTAACGCAGAAGCGCAAGAATCCAGAACGCGCTGAACAGCTGCCATCTTCTCACTTTGCTCCTTCCGAACCATCTGAGAAAGCGTGTGCTAACAACACCCGGATTCGGCTTCAAAATGGCGAAAGATCGGTGATCTCCCTTCACATTTGCCTACAGCCAATATTCGGCGCCCACCTTTCGCCATGGCAGCGCCTGCTTTCCTCCTAATGGCGCTTCTCAGTGTTTCCCTATTCGCCCATTCCACCGCCGCTCTCTGCGTCCCCAGCGAACCCTATGTCGACTGCAACTTCCACGCCCTTTCCTCCCCCCATTGGCCCGCTCTTTCCGGCGACGCGCCAGCCCTCACGGCAGCCTGGAAAGCCGCCGTCGCGCAGACTCCCGAGTACCCCGAGGGGCGGTTTGCGGGGGAGGGGCTGGTGATTACGGCGACCAAACTGGATCTGGTCAACGTGCCGGTCCTGCTAACGACGCTCCAATCAGAGGGGTTTGATTTGCCTGTGGAGGTGAGTGGCTTTGCTTGCTTCTATTTGACTTCTATAGATTCGGTCGTTGTGTAGGTCTGCCTTGAATAGTTCTTGCCTTTCGAGATTGTCTTTCGAATCTGGTTTGCTGGGTTGGGCTTCTTGTGGTTCGTCATCTTCTTCTGCATGGCCTTGCTTTTCTCCCTTTCACAGCACAACATGTTCATGCTGCCAAGAACCTGCGCTACTTCTATTTGACCAGAACTTGAAAGTTTCATTAAGGGGCTATTGTCGTGTGGGGGCATTTCTTTGGGCAGTGGGGAAACGGGTGTGCTGGGCGGTTTGTGGACGAGATTCAAGAATCTTCTTGTTTGGGATAGCAGATCTGGAACTCTCAAGAGAAGCCCGGTTATTTTGAACGTGGTTTGAACAGCTTTTTCGGATTGTTTGGATCCCTTGTTGTCATAACCAGACAACTCAGGCTTGATTGCGGTTTGAAGGTGCATGAAGCAAAAAGGCGGCCAGAATCGGAAAGGTCACTATGGCTGTAAACATTTTCGCCCACGAGGGGTCTTTTTCAGAGTCGTTCGGGTCCTTCACAGCTCTGCCTAACAACTTCTCTCTTTGATAATTCCGCGTTGAGTACCTGTGCCAATGATCAATCCTTATCTGCAGGCTTCTATTTGATAGACATTTGGAAGATCTTGAAAGTTGGCTACTAAAAAGACTATATCTATCGAAGATGAATTGCATGGATTGGTTTCTCTAAGATTTCAGCGTCAAAAGCCTCACCAGATCTTGCTTTTGCCCCTTCCGGCGCTAAGATCTCGCAGCAATTTAAACACATATGTGATAAAAAACACCCATTTTGTACATCAAACGTCAAGAATATGTAGGAATCCACACAGACATATGATACCCTCCACCCCTTGGCCCCCGCTCAAAATCTACTTCTCCCCTGTTCTTTCCTCTCAATGTTTACTCCCTTATGCCAGATTATCCTGAATCCCTCCTTCCAATAATCGTGGATCCTGCCCCTCTCTCACAGACGTCCACTGCCCCCCTTTCCCTTTCCCTTGATTTAATCCTTCCCCCTCTCCAGAAGCAAACGTATAAACCCTCCCCCTCCTTGAAGATCCTTCTCTACCCTCGAAATCGGCTCCAATCAAAAACAGGGCCTGACCCCCCTCGGACAGATTCGCAATCATTCCCCCCTTTTACATAAAACATAAGGCTTCCCATCCCTGGCAGATCTCGCACTCCAATCCGTTTCCTAGCTAAATGCCCCCCGCTCTTGCAGATCTTCGGATCCCCCTCTTCTCGGGCAGGTTTTCAAAAATCTCCCCCCTTCTGCATGCAGATCTGGTACTCTGGTGATGTCAGCCCTGACGTCATGACCTCCCTGCTAACCAGTTACAGCAAGCTTGTGATCAAGAACGTGGCCAACTATGCGTCGGACGACGATCTCCGGAGCACAGAGACTAGTCAAGGGGAGCACGTTTTCCAAGTGAGTTCTATCAATATTTTTCAGCCTGGTTTTGCTGACTTCTCGTTTTGGTGCCCTGATTTTTACATCTTTCGAAAAAGATTGCTTTTGAATGTAATCCGATCCTCCCCTTGTTTGCAGCCTTTCATGAGACGATTCTTTCCATAATTCTTGAATCTGTTCGTGGATCCTGTCACTTGAAAGAGATGGCTTTCGACCTCCTTCGTCTGATTCAGCCACTTCTGGGTGCCATAATTCCCATGACTTCCAGACTGCTTCTTTCGTGACCTCACATCTCAAATCGAATCTTCGAAAAATCTGAAGGTGTCACAAGCTCTGTGTGGAACTTGTTCCGATTGAATCACACCAGGTTGAAGTTAGCTTTGCACAATGTAGCCAACTAGTCGGTTCCTTTGGTGTCAACTTAACATCAAATGATTCTTTCCAGCGGCACTCTTCAAGTGCACTCCATCTTGCATCATTTATTCACATCTGACCAAGTTTACAAATGATTGTCTCGGGTATGTGTGACGATCGTTTGCAAGCTAAGTTCAAAGACAATCGCTGATTGCTTTTTCTTTGGGTTCTTTACAATCAAATTCTCGACCTTCGTCGAAAAGCCTCTGAATCTTTGTTGAACCGGTCACTTCTAGACATGATTAAGCCATCCGAAAAATTCTAGTTCAAGTGACATTTATGACTCATATCCTGGTGACGTAATCTGATTCTCAACTGCAGAGTTTAGGCCGCTCGTGGCTCTTGATCAGATTCAGCTCTAACCACATGATTTTTCCTTAACGGAAAAGAGAAAAGACTACAGATAATCAAACCTTTTGTCACTCAATGCCACCTTCGAAAAATCTAAACTTTTTCAAGGGATTCATATGACGTTTTGGCAGCTCGTCAGGCTGAGTAAATTTCCTAAGTCTCTTGTTATTACAGTAGAAAAGTAACCTGTATTTGAACTTTCTTCAAGGCTGGTTGCCGCCCACGTCTGGTTCAGTTTGAATCCTTAACCATCTAAGGTTTTGTGGCAGGTTTTTCTGAAATCTTCTCTGTATCTCTTTCAGGCGAAGCCTATCGCGATCCTGCATTCGTCTTTCGAAGAGGTCCTTTTCCTCGACGCGGACAACATCCCCATGGCCAACCCCGCCGCCCTGTTCCGTTCCGCCCAGTACCAGACCACCGGCGCCCTGTTCTGGCCGGACTTCTGGCGGACCGCCACCGGAAACCCAATCTGGTCAATCCTGGGAGTTTCGTCTCAGGGGCAAGAGCAGGAGTCGGGGCAAATTTTCGTCGACAAACGGCGCGCGTGGAAAGCGCTCAACCTTGCGTTCTTCTTCGCAAAGGACAGTACGTTCCAGAAAATGATCAACGGCGACAAGGAGGCGTTCCGCCTGGCGTTCCTGGCGACCGGAACGCCGTTCGCCATGGTCGGAACGCCGGTCGCTGCCGCGGGAGCGGAAACGGATTCCGGCGGATTCTGCGGGCACACCATGGTGCAGCACGACCCCGAGAGCGGCGCGCCGCTGTTTTTGCACCATAACTCGCTCAAACACGGGGCGGCCGTGACGTGGCAGGTCATGAAGGCGGTGCCAGCTGGCAAGGGGTGAGCCACGTGTCCGTTTGTGAGTGGTTTTGCAGGTCGAGTTGTATCTTAAGCATTTAAATCAGGCGGCGGGATCAGAATGAAGATGTGTTTCTCAAGTAGTGGAGCGTGGATCGCCGCCTGCGTCATCAATCAAACCGCGTTCGAAAGCTATTTATTCATGTTTTGGGTGGCTCGATAATTGTGATAAGATTTGCGTTCTATGCGTATGTCTGTTAAAGCTAGGTTGCGACTCCTCAGCGGCGATTGATCTCGTCGATCTGACATCATGTCTACATGTGACAGACACGCCTACTTCATGTGGAAAATGGGTGATCGACTGGTCGGAATGAATCAAAACATCTTTGCGAGTTACAGGTTAATCCAGGAATAGAAGAAAACTTTCCAATATCCGAGCGCAATATCAGCCTGACTTTCGTTTTCGTACAGATATGACAGAACCTGACTGCAGCGTATTCCGGAAATCAAGCCCCTCTCCTCCCCCCCGCAGATTCTCCGTAGTTCCTCTCCCCCCCGCCACGATCAACGGCGAGCCGGTCTCCTGCCTGGACCTGGCGGGTGCTGACGTCATCATTACGCCCGAACCTTTCTCCGCTTTTGAGACGACGTTCGCGAAGCTTCAGGCTGCCGCGGACCCTGCCCTGAAACGCGTCTCCCAGAACGAGTTCACGTCCGTCAGTCTGGCGACCGCGAGAAAGCTACTCCAGGGCAACGGTGAGGGAGAACGTTCTTTCTGGTCGCCCCGAAAATGGAGTATCATCGCAGGAGACGGCTCTGTAAAGCTGCGTGCATGTGTCGTAGACAACATTTGTCAAGCTCGGCACACTTCAACTGAGCTGGTTCATCGTGTCGCAGAAGCTGTTTGAAGCACTTGGAAGCGGATCAGGCGGAGGAACAGATTTTAAAGAGATAACGAAACGAGAAGAAAAAGGATCGGAATCTTAAGGAGATGAGCGTTGCCTTTTGACTCAGATCGTTCGCCTCTTGCACACTTCGTAACTCGGAGTCTGCCCGCTTTCCTTCCCAATCTGGTTTGCAGTTGCGTTTTCAGGGGCCTCGCTTAAATTTGTTGCACTTTGATCCTCGTTTTATGAGTCAGTTGTTTGCGGCAGCATTTCTATCAAAAGCGTCAAATAATGGAGCCGAATTTGTCGTGTATGGTCTGTTTTCTCCAAAAGCTTCGAAACTACTTCCAAAAACGCGTGTTTTGTTGACCTTGAAGTACGTTCATTCTTTTTTCTGATTCAAGGTGTTGTTCTTTGGTGCAAATGAGGACAGTGTCTAAGCTTTCGGAAGGTTCCGGCTCTTTTTCAAATTAAACCACCAGAAATGGCTTCTCGTCATCCATTAATCAGGTATTAGGAAATCCTATCTGAAATGGTTTCAGTGTTTTCATCTCCTGTGATACGAATGCTTGCAGGCTCCGCTACATTCTGGCCGCAGGTTCCCCTCTCTGAGTTTCGAAAGTGGAACGTAGAACTTTCTATGACACACAAAGAAAGCATGGAAAACTCTTCACAAGATTGTTTCATTATATTTTCACCTCCTGTGATACAAAATATTTTAAAGAAATGTAAAGACGAAAATAATTCTTGTAGGCTCCGCGACCGTCCCGCCGTCCTCTCCTGGAGTGTGCCCGAGCGGCGCAAACTACGTAAGTGTTACGTCACAACTTCCTGGCAGCTTTTTGTCCCTCAGCTGTCTTCTCCCGGTTCAACTGGAAACTTGGGTTGGTAGAAAGTCGCTGCGTTTCGGCAGTGCGGAGTCCTTCACGCCGCACAATCAACACGACCACGTAATCCTTGCATTGTACGGACGAAGAATCGGATTTAGAATCAGTCGTTCTCGCGAATCCGGAGACATCTAGAATCCCAAGCAACGGGTCGTAGTCCCGTTATGCAGACAAATTCGACCCACTTCTTCACTTCCTCTCACCTGTCTTGTGCACTCGTTCGAGACTTTCGAGTCGCCGCGCCCCCCCCCCCCCCCGGCCCCAACCTGACAGCTGTCGCTCTTTTGCCGCGCGCGCGCAGTGCTACTCCAGCGGGGGCTCCATCCTGACGTGCTGCCTGACGTCATGCTCCGGCGTCTACGCCAGCCTCGACCCGGCCGTTGACGCAGTCCAATTCTGCAACGCGTTTGGCGGCGGCGTTGATTATGGGGGCACCCCCGTCGGCACGACCCCGTCTCCCTCCACCCTAGTTGCCGGCGTCCCCCCCACGGGAGGCGTTTGCTTGCCCGGTTTCTTCAACCAGCCGGTACGTTTCTTGACGTCAAACCGTTTCCGTTACGGTTTTCGTCTGCTCGGTTTCTTTGAGAATGCGCCCCGTCTACCCTGCTCGCCGGCGTCCCCGGCCCACGGGAGGCGTTTGCTTGCCCGATTTCTTCAACCAACCGGTACATGGGTTTCCGTTGCCCGTTTCGGTTACGTATTTCGGTTGCCCGGTTTTTTTTGAAGATGTGGGCACCCCTGTTGGAACAACCCCGTCTTCCTTTCATTAACGAGACTGGAAGAGCAAACCGGCCCCCAACCGCACATGAACGCAGATAAAGCGAGACCTTTGACCTTTGACTTTAAAGCTGGGCCGGGTCGTCGTCTTTCCCGCCATGGAAAGAAGTAATTGGAACCCGTGTGTCGTGATTCATAAGGTCAAAGCGCGGGTGTGTTTCCTTTCAATTGTCGGTCCTTTCTTGTTCCATGAGTAGGACTTAAATCTGTTAGTGTACTTCAAAGGGCCGCTGTTCATCCCAAAAATCATTCGAGGTAGTGCCAAATGTGACGGCATAAAGCTGTATGCTAGAGATACTGTTGTCAGGTACGTTATGGACCAACTGATGTTTTGGGAGGATATCCATAGGCAGGATAATCATATAAGGCGCCGTTTTTGCAGTGCTTCCCTGCGGGTGGAACCGGCCCCGCCATCTGCTGCCCCAGCGCCTTCTACCAGTGCGCCGGAACCGACGGCCCCACGCCCTTCTGCCAACCGGTCTAGGCCCCCGGCCGGCCAAGGTACGTACCGGTCTGAGCCCCCGCTTTGAATTCCCCCTTTCTGACAACGGTTTAGTAGGGCCCCAGGCGCCCCGGTACGTACCCGTTTCCGCTTTAGTTTTCCAGCTTAAAGAGGGCGTCTGCGCAACGTCATCAACCGGCCTCGTTTAGCAGGGCCCAGTGCTCGGGGCACAAACTCTGAAACCAAAATTCGGCGACAGGATAGCGGGAAGCTGTGCTTCAATGTCGCTGTGTGACTAACCGTTCCGGGTTCCAGGACGCCCACTTTCAAAAGTGACCGAGAATATTTGAGATCTTGAGATTATCTTCGCTGCAGTAAGATCAGAACTGGATTCAACGCCGATCTGAGGAAAGGGGATTCTTAACTTGACAGGCCAATGTGGCTGTCGGTCAACCTAGTCTAGGAAGGGCCCGGTCACTACGTGAGGTTCTCGCAAGGTTTCTGACATTCTCGGAAAGACCCCTCTTGTGCGCGCTGCAAACAGACTCTGAATGCGCGCTTTGCAAGCGATCTTCTCGCACGTGCATGCTGACCAAGATTGGCCAACTAAGAAGAGACCTCTGATACGCCCTGCATACCGCCTTCTCAATTATATTGCATCGAAGGAGGTTGCTTTGGTTGCTACGTTTCTGGTTGATTGTCGTGCAGCTTCAGTTCTCCAGTGGATCAGAAACGGTCACAATTTCTGCTCATGGATCTACAAACAGGGCCGATTGGGGGACTGATTCGTATCTTTCTCACCGTGCAGGACCAGTCGGCACCCTGTGTCGTCTCGGCCTTTCTCCCCCCTCCCTAGTTTCTCAAGCTCTCTCCTCCTCTAGTTGTCCCGGCCCCGCCCCCCTAGTTGCCGGATTTTAGCCCCCGGTAGTAACCGTCAGTTCCAGATTGCCCCCAAGCTTTTCGGTCTTTTCCTAGTACTTAATTTGGCTTGGCAACAACCCCCCTCTAGTTGCCCGCCACCCCCCCGGCGCCCCCGGGTGATTGCCGCTCTCCCTCATGATGTAGGAACTGCCACCTGTAGTTGTCCCGGTGCCTCTCTCAGATGCTGGGTGGCGGCTTTTTCTGCCGCACGCCTTGCGGCGCCGCTCCCCCTCTAGTTAGTTGCACCGCTGAGATCAGCTGGCCTCTCCTCTCTAGTTCCCGCTCGGGGCAATTTTTAAGCTACTGCAGAAAACAACCCTCTCCCAAATTTCTAAGTAGTTGACGTCGAAGTTGGCTGTTCCGATTCGACGTATCATAAGCTGTGCGCTACTTGCACAACTTAGTTCATAGGACTGGAATAAGACGGTAGTGCGCACTGGCCGGCCCTAGAAACTGTGATAACCAGTCGAGAGGGCCAGAAACAACACCCAATAAGCGCGGTGCGTACTGCTAGTAAACGGATAGATCAGCGTCCATAGCATTGGCAGCCCTCCAAATAAGCGTTGCGCGATTATACAGAATAAGCGCCTTGATACGCGGACGGCTGGTGCTGTAGGACGTACATTGTGTGGTGTTTGCGTGTGTAGTGTTTCTCAATTATTTTCTAACTTATGAGTGTGTAGACAGGGTCGTCTCGGTTTGAATAGGCTTGATAAGAGAAGCGAGCCGCTCAACATGAGAGTACCATCTCGTGTAAGTTAGATGTTTTAAGACATTGATTTCGCAGATATAAGACTTCGATCTACCAATCAGATCCAGACAATATACGCAAACCGGTGATTACCATGCATTTCATTCTTGTAAAAGATTCTGGCATACATCTCTCACATACTAGGTTTTGAGTTTCAACTCTAGCTGGGATTGAGAAGTAAGAATCTGAAAAGTTCTCACTGGATGTAATACTAACTCATGCCAGAGCTTGTTCCGGGCCGGTGTTCATTTTCGGACACTTTTATTTCTCATTTAAGAACATGTACGCGTCCAATAACCGTGTACGTTGGCGCAAGATCGATCAGATCAAATATCCATCAAAACTCCGGCCATGCCATTGACATTCTGATCGGATTATAGTATCCTCAACGCCGCAAGTCTCCGAAGGAGTCTCAACAAATACTGAAGGAACCCATTATACTTTCAAACCCTGATCGCGGCCCGCCAGTTCGGAACCACCATTCAATGATTGTAGACTTATGCACTGGACTCATGCACTGGACCTGCCATCGATCGCACGATCAGCGCCGAACCCGCCCTGGCAATTGAACTTAGTCGATGATCATTCTCTTCAATCTACGGTAGCTAAGTAGAGGGCCGGCAGCATCATGCAATTATGAGCGACAATATGATTGGATCGCGCCATGCGTGACATCAATGTGTGGTTAAGTTCGCTCAAAAAGAAATTAGCCTCTGACCTCGGGCTGGATCATAAGCTGGGCCGGCCGAAATCACCTTGATCGAAGATCTGTGCATAAATGATACAGCCGCACGCGATCGGGGAGCCGAGATCGAGTTATCCGACGAGGAATCATACCCGGTGACCCGGCGCCTATATAGACAACATGAGGATCAGTAATTCCGGCCGATCGAGCTAGTGACCGCGCGGCGTTGCGCAGCCGCCGGCGGACCACATGTGCACGGCCGTCCGGTCAACTAGTGCGCCGCACATTGAATGATGGTGCATCATGATCGATCGACGATCTAAATTTTGATCGATACAACGTGGGGAAGCATGCATATAGTATCACAAGGGATAACTTGAGTCCGGTAAGGTCCCAATTAAGCCGATCCACTCTAATATTATATTTCCATCATCAAGTGATTCCGAGTCAATGATTGTATCATAATCCTCATAATAAAGCCTAAAATTTGGTGCAAATGACAATGAAATCTTGAAACTGTTCAGTCGATCCGATGATCAGTACTATAAAGACTTGCAGAGAAAGACTTGCAGATAGCTTGACATTCCATACACCTAGACTCAGCCAAAGTAAGTTGATACCAATTATGGGCATACTAAAATCAATCTGCTTGGCCTTATTATACGACCTCGAACCCCAAACGACCAGTCTCTAAAACTATCGTATCTTGTACTGGAAAAGCTTTAACACCACATCTTAGCAATACATTTTCTTTTCTTTTTCAAACTTCAGACTCACAATGGCAACACTTTACACAATTCACTAATTTATAAGATCCGTCCAATATTTCGCCCAGATTTACACTGCTGGCTCGGACCCGGTTTTCCAATTTGGGCCTAGGAAGCTACAAATGCGTGCCGAGCACGCATTGTGGGCTTTCACCAACTCGGTGAGATCAATGGTCGTAAACTTGCCGTCCTTCACAACGGCCTCTCCGTTGATAACGGAAAGGTCCACGAATCCAACGCTGGGGCCGCAAAGCAACAACGCCGCCGCCTGCACAAGGAATAATGCACATGGAATAACGCTGAATTTCTGGTGAGTTTCAGATTCGTCATTGACAAAGCGGCCGACTCTTCCGAATTACATCGCGGTTCTTGCCTTATGCAAGTAGCATAAATTCCGGACTCATAAGCGCTATGCGACCAGCCTTGTCGTCACCGGTATCGAGTCGACTGTCTCATATCTGCTGACCGGTCGTTTATGTCCTAGTACACACTTGTACGCAACGAGGAGTTCGACGCCTTTCCGTCATTGTTTTCCAGTATATACGAACTCTGCCCAAGCAATATACCCTTTTGTAAGGTTGACGCCTACCCACGCTTAATTTCTTGCTCGCTTTTAGTGAGACCCTAGCTTTCTGCGGTACATGAATTTTAGACGCCCTGTTCAATCCGTTCGCTTCACTCATAATCAACGAAGCCTTGATTTAACAACCTAGTCCTCCCAATACCGTTAACTTCAAGGCAATTTGAACCGACACTTTTCAACAACCAACAATCCAACAAAGACTCTCACCAAACGTGCAAAGATTTGAGAAGCTGAACTAGGGGGGTCACTGACCTCGTCAATTCTCCCCCCGGAGAAGCCGATCGTGTCCGTCCTCCAGGCTACGAAGTCAGCCGCATAACCCGAAGCAATCTCGCCAATGTCGTCACGCCCTAGGTTCCGAGCGCCGCCCTTAACCGCCACGTCGAAAGCTTCGGCGATGGTCATACCTGAGGAAAAGCTCGCCAGGCTTCGAGAAATTTCCGGAGGTTGAGGGACTCCGAGTGCGGGGTTATTTCAGGAGAAAAGTTCACTTTCAGCAGATCGTCGACTTTGGTCAGCTGGTGTCATAATAGACGCCCAATTCTCCTCGAGACCACCACGTCAGACTCAAGGAGCGTTCTTCTGGATCCTCTTGAGAAGATCCTTCAATACGGTGAGCGACCATATCAGGGTTCTGGATTTTACAGTTGTAGGATTTCATCTTTTGTCTGCACCTTCAAATCGGGTCAAGGCTGGACTTCTTTGGACCTCAAATCTGCCGAATATCGGTTCAAAACTCCTCCGCAGTGGATAGCAGAGAGGCTGCTCCGGTGCTGGCCCTTCAATGCTGGGATAGTCGAGTGGACCGATGCAAATCGGCAAGTACAGTTCTAGCGGGAAGGGGCTTTTAGGGTTTTAGAACTACAACCCTAGAACTACAACCCATTGAAGGATCTGGACGCTTAACCGCCTATGTCTATGCCAGCAATAAATGAACAACCAGGCAGATTCAGGTGTCTGACTCCCCCTCCGTCCCCCGACTTATGGTGTTTCCCCATTGGTGAACCAGTCACAGACTCTTATCATTGTTAAAGGAAAGTAGAGATTCTTGAGGCCAGATTATGCTGAAAATAATAACGATTAGACGAGTGGACTTTGCGCACCTTGTGCATTTCCGGTGTGTCGCTGTAGGAGCATCGCCAGCCGCGCCTCGGCTAGCAGGTGGCCGCAGTCGTTGCTCGCACTCCCGTCGACGCCCAAACCCACGTTAACCCCGGTGTCTAACAGCGTCCTTACCGGAGCGATACCTGAACGATGAAAATCGAAACTTTTTGGAAACTCGTAGACAAAGGAAGTGATCCACAGGTCATTCAGGCCGGTCTTGAGACATGTCCGATTCCAGTTAAGTGGCTCTCAACCCAGTCGACGCCAGATGCGTGAATGTCTGATTAGTGCAATGTTCCATTCGAATAAATTACTGACGAACTTTACTCTCATTCACAAAGGTAGGTTTGCACACAGGGAAAGCACTTCCAGCAATGACGCGAAGGTCAGGACCTACGAAAAGCAGTTTGCTATCGGTCGACGCGTTTTTAAAACTCACGAAGATGGAAACCTTTGCCGACGAGCATGCTTACAATTAGGGGCACGGGTTTGTACACATACGTGACAACGTATTAGCCCTTAGAAGAGCAGTTGAAGTGAGGCACTTTTGCCCACCGACGTGGCGCCTCAAGAAGGATGTCTCGGGTCCCGCTTCCACGTTCGGGCGACCTTTTGACCGAGGCTCCGCTCCGACGGGCGCTCAGAAAACCATGCACTGCTCAAGATCGCAGCAAACCGCGGGGCACATAAAGACCTTGTAAAACTGGAGGGAACATCCAAATCGCAATAAGCTTGCACGAATTTTCACCTGAGGCCAGTCGGAGGTTGGACGAGGGGCAGTGCGCGATGCCGATGCCGTTGTCGTGGAACTGCTTCATCTCTGCGTCGTCGAGCATGCAGCAGTGGGCGAACCAGACGTCAGACGCGTCCCAGCCGACGTCACTGCACGGAGGGGCGACAACATTCGCATTCCTTTGCATAGAGTTTTTCTGTCGTCTTTTCGTTATTACTCATTTCTCAACCAATCCTGACGACTGACTGCGTCGCACGGTCTACACCGTTGCGATCGGACGTCACTGGCACTGTCGGGACTCTCCATAGTTTTGCGCAAAACAGAACCGAGCATACAAGCCGGCGAAACGGTTTTGTACAGGCAACTTGTGGGGATCAGGGGCTCAGTAGAGGGGCGTGTTTGGCCAGAGGCTCCATTGTCACCGGAGAGGGAAGTGAACGGCGAGACTGTATGAGGGAACGACGGTAAAGCTACGGAAAGATGGGGCAACAAAGTAGCAGCGTCAGAACACTCTGAAAATCGGGTTCCGTATTACTGAGAGATAATCACATGTCTGACACCGGCCGTTTCCGGGAACGAAGCTACTAACAAGCCGCCCTTTTCATGCGGAATGGTGCCGAGTAGCTAAGATCCTGAAACGCTGAAGGTCCTGAAAACAAAAACGCAGCTTGGAATCCTGAGCAAGTAGAACGGCGAGCGATGGACGTCAACTGACAATTTGACACAAGCACACGCCTCTTTGTCAGGGGCGGAAGGGGATCGGTGCCCCTAGCTTTGTAAGGTCGCTCAAAAAGGAACGGGCTACTAAGATCGCAGTGACGCTCAGTCAACTCCAGGACATCGAGGTCAACAAAGTTGATAACAAGCTGAGTTAACAATAAGGTGACCGCACTGGGACGGGTGGGGTTAGTCTGGGGGTTAGGTGGGTAGGGGTGCGGATCAGGTACTTCCCTATGTTTGTTTTGGTTTTAGTCGGACCTCTTATTGTTATCTTGGCTTCCGAATTGGTCTTCAGTTTGATCTCTAGGACTGTGTCTTGGCAGGGACCGCCACGGGGCGAGATGCCCGCCTTGAAGATATGAGAATCTACTCAGTCAGATTTTGGCAATTTCGCCTCCAACTAGGCTCCACTCGCGAAAACCAACACCTGATGAAAGTGTTAGCTTCAAGATCCTGACTCCGCACTCTCACCGGCCTGCACCCGCAAGAACTGCAAATGGCTTCACAAAGTCCGGCAAAAAGGAAGGTTGTGGGTCAGATTAAACGGAACGAAGACTCACGTGATGTACTTGCCGGGCCGGCATCCGTACGTCTTTATGCTGAAGTCGATGTCTTCCTACAAGATTTGAAGACGAAGCATTAGCACAGCACTTTGCTGCAATAAGAATTGACGACTCGCAGGTTCAGTGTCGAGTGCAGAGGCTGCTCTACAGAGCTGCTGACGTTTCTGTGCACAGTAGGGAAAGTTGTCCCGAATCCCTCTAGAAAATCGTCCCTGTCCAATGGAGATACGTTGGAAGCACATATCACAAGCTAGCAAGCGACAGGAACTTGTTTTAAGCAGAGCCACTCTTTCCAAGCATAGGACGAGTTACAACACCGACGCTATACAAAGACGGTCTGGAGACAGTTGACTCAGCGGAAACGTACACACGCTAATACTTGACCAAACACTTGTCCAAATCGGTTAGAGATTATTCCACCCAAGGTCAGAGGTGTGATTACAGAGTGCCCGACCCGAACGGTCGACGGAGACAATGCGGACGGCACAAGTTGATGCGCGATCAGCTGAAAGATATATCCAGAACATCGGACGGATTTCTCAAGAAGGGAGCACGAAGCCGCCAAGACTTCGATCAAAGGGGCGACGAGGTACTCCAAAGACGCACCTGGTTCTCTGCCAAGTGGGTGTGCAACCGCACCCCTTCGTATTGCCGCGCCAGCTTGGCCGCTGCAATCATGAGGCTGTTGTCAACGGTGAACGGAGAGCAAGGCGCCAGGCCCATCCGCAGCATGGAGTACCTGAGAGAAGAACGGAACCCGAATGAGACCGGAAGCGGAATCGAGCGGAAAGTACTGTCGGGCCAGCTTGGCCGCTGCAATCATGAGGCTGTTGTCGACGGTAGAAGGAGAGCAGGGCGCCAGGCCCATCCGCAGCATGGAGTACCTGGCAGAAGAACGTAACCGGAATGAGACCGGAACGGAATCCAGCGGAACCTACTTCGAGCTAGTCTAGCGCCTCTTGTCGACTGTAAATGAAAAGCGGGGCGCCGGGACCATCCGTAGCATGGAGTACCCAGCAGAAAAACGTAATGAGACTGCTTGGCTGCAGTAACGACGAGGCTCTTGTAGCGTGTGAACGAAAAGCAAGGCGCCTCGAACCGCGACACGAGGATCTGAAACGGATGAGCAGAACCCCACCAGTGGGAAATGCGAGAACGCAGTTACTGAAGCCGCTGCTTCCAGTCGCCAAACTCTCGTCTCCTCTTATAAAGGCCGTCGGGGCGCTATTAAGATCCAGCCTAATGCTTTCAATATCCGTCACCAATGTGTGACTTTGATCAACGTGGTTAGGCAGCCCTGGTCTGAATTGCGGCCTGCAAAAATTTCACTTACTCCCGACGGAAAGCGGAAAGCACCCACGGTTTGCCAAACCAATGTTGCGAATCAGCTTGGACAAAATCAAACGTCTGACGCGTTCGTGGTTTGATCAGGATAAAAGGGCGCCACACCCATATGCATGTAAATCAAAGGGTCCGGATAACCAGCAAGTTACGGCTCTTTCCTTGTTATATCGCAATTCGCAACAAGACAGACCAGACGAAGGGGAAGGAACTGAAAGTTCAACTATTGGAAATAAGCCCGTACTTCGAATTGTCGTGGAAGTCTTCGATCAGTTGCTTCATCGTCGCAAGTGCAGCGTCTTCTTCTTCGCACACGTTGTCGGGGGGGAGCCCGCCCTTGCTCTGGCCCAGCGTCATTGCCCCCCTGGTAGGATGGAATCGCATTCCGATCTCTCTGCAAAAATAAGTTTGTTGTCAGTTTCGATGCAAGCTTCCTTCTACAAGTTTTTTAGTCGAAGTCGTTTCTGTAGACAGCTTGATTATCCCCTTGATAGGATGATGTTGCATTCCGATGTTTCTGCAGAAAGAAGTGCGTTGTCAGATTGAATTTGAAGTTCCTTCTACGACTGTTTCAGTCAGAGTCCTTTCTGTAGACACCGTTACTGCCCCCCTAATAAGATGGAAGCGCGCCCCTATCTCCCTGTACCATCATCTCGTCTTGTAGAATCAATGCTTACTTCGCTCCCTATATTGGAATGCGTATTCTCAAACTTTGCTTGAGAAGGCGTCTCAGTGCTGGGATGAAAGCAAGCCAAAGCACGGAGGTATGAATCAGAGCACGGTCAAACAGAAGCAGAAGCAGAAGCACGGTCAAACAAGGACCAAAATCGGACGAGGCCAATAGATGCAGAAGAAAATCGTGACCGTTGTATGGCCTGCTTACAGTGGAAGGGCTATCTCTTTATCCAATCCTCAACGAAGCTGGTCGACGCCATCAAGAAAGAAATGATGCAGCTCCCGAATGACTCGAAACAAAGTGTGGAAGATAACAGCGTAACCCCAAGGTAAACACAGGGGGAAGAAGGATAAAGACAGGCGGAAAAAGGAAAGGAGCGCACTCTCACCGGGACGCTTTGATGCAGTCCTCCAGCTTGACATCGTTGGGGTAGATGTAGAGATGATCGGACGTGGTAGTGCAGCCGGTGAGAATAAGCTCCGCCATGGCGAGCTTGGTCGCAATGTACACGTCGTAACCCTGCAAAAGTGGCCATTCACACCATTTGAGTTGCTTGCAGATTGTTATTTCGCTTGTACCAAGGCACGAATCACAAGAGCCGAATTGCCTCTTCCGACGCATCTGCTTTCTCTGCCTTTCGCATCATTGACCAGAGAACGTTATTTTGATACGAGACGTTTGTTGCTCATTTCGGCTTCGCCTAGCAGCATCAAACGCCTTGCAGCCGTCCAAATCCAGCCAAAGAGATTACGCTTCCGTTCCCGTTTCCCTTTTCGAAACCAAGCATATTGGGACAGCTTCGTGTAGATATTTTTTCGCACAAGATTATCCACGGTTGATGATTGTCCTGAAGTCATGTGGCAGAACTGCGATTCGACGTCAATCCCTATTTTGAGATTGTGGTCGAATCAAGCGACGAACTCGATGAAATATAAGGAGGTCCGGGCAGATACTAAAGGCACTTACCGACAGGTTGCCCCAGGCTGGGTAAAGAGAAGTGAGCCACCCAAACAATTTCGAGTCCTGCACAGAAACAGATAGAAAGAGAAGCTTTGAGCTCTTATGATCCATCATGTCAAGCCCGTGAGCCTTGCAAAGTTGTGCCCAATGCACTTCTCTACAGCGCTTGTACCTGAAAAAGGAAACAAGGGGTCAAAGCGTGGAAACACTTGAGAACTTTAGAATGATTGCAAACCCTGGCTCACACAATTTTGGATTGTGACCTCCACAATTGAATTGTATTTTCTGAAACCAGACTTTGCTTCATTTGTCTAGCAGTGTTACGGGGCATCACTGATTGCATTTGTTTGAGTGAATCTTAATCTTTAAGAGTTCCGCTAACTGGACAAGAAAGCTCAGAGCTCAGGTTACTGAAAAAGAAGTTGGATTCTCCATTGCACGCCTGAAGGGCCTTACATTGAGATCAATTTGAGAAGGGGAGGGAACCTGGGTGAGTATTACTTAATCAGTGAAATAGACAGAAAAGCAGGAAGTGAAAGGAACAAGGAAACGGCGCTAGGTGGGGGTTAAAGTTTTCGAAGTTAACTCACCTGAGCCACACACCTAGTTAGAGACTGGACCATGTGATGGTGAGTGTTAACCATACCCGGGATAACCACGCGGTTCTCCAGTCTGATGACATCGTCGGCGGTCGAGAATTCCGCCGGCAAGTCCTTTGTCTTCCCCACCCATTGGATAACGTTTCCTTTGACAAAGATTGCTCCGTCCTTGATTTCACTGAGAGTGCTGTTGAGGGTGTGCAGTGTGCCAATGTTCTGTAAAAGGAATGATGATGAAAGATGAGAGATTCAAACACAGGAAGCAGCCAAAAGTCAGTGTCCAAATGTGAGAAACTACGTGAGTCACAGGTTGTACCTTTTGTGCAACATTGACTGTCTATGTCTACGTTACTGTTTACGGCGTATGCCACGGAAGAGGGCAGCTTTACTACACTCTATACTGCCTTGTTGGAAGGTGCCCTGGAGGGTGTGAGGCCAGTTACTGTCAAAAATTTGGCCACACCTTGCAGGAACCGCAAGAGGAAAGGCTGACCTAAACTGGCTGGAACTATGTCGGAACTCAGTTGAGAAAGAGGAGGGCAGCGGCTGATTACCTCACGTGCTAGTCGAGAAAAATTGAGCAATTCACCACCAAGGGACGAGACTAGGACACGTTATACTTTAATGCAGAATAAGCCACAAGAAGCGGGAATCCATATTCAGACATTTAAGGAGGGCTGTACTAGAAGCAAGATAAGGGCCATCTGCCTTTCTTAGAGTCCCTTCTTTCTTGAGTACAGAATGTATGAGGCATTTCTTCTGGGCCCTTTGATAAAGCCAAAAGTTCTATGTTTGATGTGACTTTTCTGCAAGTTGAGCTCTTGCTCCTATGGTTGGGACCACTATGGAGAGGTCCACGAAGAAGAGCATACAATTGACGTTCATTCCCCATTGCGCCAACGCTAATGTCAGCCGAGCACCTGCCCCTGGTGACTAATGCAGAATCTGCGGCGGTGCTGAAGTTCTTCAAGGTGTGAAGTTCAGTCTTCATTGTAATCACAGTGTGGCTCAGATCAGAAGCCACGGCACTTGCCTTTGTCCCCCAGATCCAATTCAAAACTTCTGATCATCAAGAAATCACTAGCTATAATGAAATCCTGGCCCCCGCTGTGTGTTGGCTGGTGGAAAAGGCCCTCTAAGAGAATTGAGTATGGGGGAAAGTTTGCTTGTCCTCACCTTGTACAATGTGGAGCCCGCTGGCACTGGCCGCGGCTTGCCGGAGCTCCCAGAAGGGTCCATTGACACTCTCAATCAGCCAGAGATCTGTAAGACTGATCGCGCCTTCTGACAGTGTCAAAAGTATGCAATTGGCCACATTTGTTGCAGAGTTGCAAAATAACCTAATTGCAATTGATGGGAGGCAATGCCGCCTTGCTCAGCAAATGCAGTGCGCCTTTCTTTTGTGTTGCAATTGCTTCGCCCAGGTTGACCGCTGCATCCGACCCACAGGTTGCTGGCTATAGGATCATATTTGCGTCCCCCATCCCCCCTACTGGACAAGTATAGTCCCGTGCGTGCAACTTCTAGTGGCTTCAAAGAGGCTGGGAAGCTGCCCGATCAAGCAAACACCGAGCTGACGAAGTCAAATGGCTGGCGGGTAGGTTAAAGATCATTGCATTCAGGCTGCTTTCTACCTGGAGTGTTCCGAGTTCCAACACCAATTGCTGACGCCGTTCTCCTGTCTTGCTTTGCTTGCAGTTAGCTCACTCAATTTACGCATTGCGCAACAAGAGCTGTCAGTGTGATGCGGCAGATTGGCGCTTTCTTCATTTGTCTTGGCTTGAAGTTGAAAACCCTAAAAGGTTTATATTCGTATCACTTCCGATTGGCTTGCCATGCAACTTCCGAAAGCGCCGGCCTAAACCCTTGCCGCCGTCGCATCAAACCCCGCGCGCGCGCCGGCCACCGTCGCTGCATGCCACTTGGGCGGCCGCTACCGGCGGCCGGAGGCGCTAGCTATGATAGCTCATCCGCGCGCGATTGAATTGCCTACAGAGCCTGTTTACGGAGTCACCGTCCGCGCGCACGTGCGCTGGCTCCCGCTCTTGCGCGCACTGCACGCATGTACGTTATGCGCACACCTGAGGGCTGGGCCAGCAGCGCGCGGCATAAGGCCCAAGGTGATCGTCCCGTGATCGTGCTACTCCATTGTTCTCGCTTCGATCCTAATTCTACATTCTTTGCCACACTTCGACTTGTTCTGGAATCATGAAGATAAACCAAAATCGGCTCCGGCTGAACGGGGGCTGAACGCACGTCACGTCGGCTATTGTTTGATTGTTCTGATAAACGTGGGCAGCCCTTTATGACCGGTTATATGAACTGAGATTCGTGAACGTCAGTCCTGCCGCCACCACGTAGCATCTGATCGTGACGAATTTTCGTCCATGCTGACGCATATGCTGACATTTGGAGCCTGCATGAAAGTCGTCGATGCACTTATCGGGTCGCAACTTCGTGTGAAGATCTACAAAATAATAAGCGCGGAGCTCGAGCTGACTCAGTGGGGCCGCGCCTTACAGAATATTTTTGCATGGAGAGTAGACGTGGTCGGTTTTGGGCAGATTGAAGGTGGTTATGCAACCAATGACAGGACTCGAGCAGGGACATACGAAAGTGTTACTAAGGTGGTCATAGCTCGGGTCTTATAAAGAACCGTTCTCAAGTTTACTAATCCAGCCTCAGTAAGTAGCATTCGCATTCTTCCTGTGGAGAGGCTGGTACTTACAAAATGGCATGATTTTATTAATGTTGCAATGATTCCGACTACTTCATCTGCCGCCCTCTGGTTGAAACGAACTTGATATCGAAGAAAGAGTGCGCTTTAGCTACTTCCCCAAAGCCGGAAAATCCAGTTCATGTCAAGCGGTCTCCAGGGTTCGTTACAAACTAGTATACTATAGTACATACTGACCAATAATAGTCATCGCAGCCCAAATGAGAATCCTACTGACCGTACGATGTGTAGCAAATGATCACTTCTCCTTTTCATTTTATCGTCACCCAATTCACTCGTCATCCCTTTTATAAGCCCTGCTCAGATACTGTCCGCTTATCAACCGTCAAACAATATGTAGCATAATTCCGGACACTGGTTTGCCTTTACATGCAGAGGCCGAAGAAACAATCAACCTTACTTCTGAGGCTAACTTGACCACTCCGTCTGATGCGTCCAAGCCTTTTCTCTTGGCACACCAAGTAGCTTTCAGGTAACAGCTTCCCGACAAAGACGGAGATTGAGGACTTGTCAATGTCAGCCCCTCATACTATGCAAGCGAGGAAGGCTTCTCCTCGCCCTTTCCAGCAGATGTCGAAGGAAAAGCGGGCCCGTTCCAGATTAGGCCCGTGTTTACACACCTAAGATCCCATTCGATCAGTCAGCAAACATCGTAATCTGATATAATATACGTAGGAGTTTAAGTCTGGCGCTCCCTGAATTTACTCCATTCCGTACCACTTCCTCCCCTCAGCTCACGCCCAATCCGGAAAACAGGTAAGTGACCAGTTTTCAGCTGTGCCATTCTTGTCAATCAAGCTCTCCCAGGTTTCGCAGCCCGGTTCCTGTTCAAATCAATCGCATCCATTGTGATCGCCAGGCGCCCCGGCCGGGGGATCCCCCGGGCCAGGAGCGCTCTTTCCATTCCCTCGCTACCCGGGGAGTTGCTCCGGGGGGATCCGTCGCTTTCCAGCGAAACGCTCAGGAGGGATCCCTCGCTGCCCGGGAAAGCGCTCCGGGGGGAGTCGTCCTGACTCCGAGGGGAGTTATCATCGCCCCCCGGGGATTTGCTCCGGGGGGATCCCTCGCTGATCGGAGTGTTCGGTTCGGTATTCCCCGGGCTAATCCAGTCGCGTTTCGGCAGTGCGGATGCCTCGGATGCGCCGCCCGAGCCACGGACGTGGCGCGGCTCCTCCTTCTCTCCGGTCGGAGGAGGCCGGCGGGTCGCGGCGTGCTGCACGGAAACGGAACGGAACGTGTTGATCTTCGTGAGATCTGTTCATCGTAGGTCTATCAACCCTAAAATTGGTCTTGTTTCACTGTTAGACGTTGTCTGTTTCGAACGTTTCCTTTTCGAACCCGGTAAAATTTTGTCTTCGGGTTTCGATCGAGCTGTGGTCGGTTCCCCTCGGGGCGCTGAGCTGTCCGGATCGAAGCCGCTCTCTCATGCTTTAGAGTTTCTCAAGCCCTCCGATCCCAATTATTTTCCTCTGAACGCCACCTGCAGCTCAGCCTCAATCGTCCCTTTCTATCAATAACCAAGTCACACAAGCGGCAATGGTCCTTCCTTTGCTGGCAAACTTTCTTGAGGTCGAAGGGGTTGTCCTGCTTCCTCTCGAAAATCTAGGTGGAATCGAGTAGAGTACTTGAGTCAGTTAACCAGCACTGTGTCCGGCTCCGAGGAGCATCTTCGCTAGCCGGCGCAAAAAACGACATCTGAACTCAATTCAATCCGCTACGGAGGTTTAGGGCACTGAAACTTGACGATCGCGCCTGGATGTCAGGGACCTAGTGCTTCATACAGTTAAGGTCTAAGTTTTTAGACCCCGGCCCACGCGCGCGTACCTGCAAAATGAAGCTGAGCGCTTGCGCCACGTCGGCCATGTTGGGTCGCGCGTCCGGCCGCGCGTCGATGCACGCCCCCGCCAGCTCCGCCGTCCAGAAGAAAGCCAGCGACGGCCACGTGCCCTGCGCGCGCGGGAATGGCTTGCGTGAGCACGGGCGGGAATTTTCATTTATTCTCGATCAAGAGCGGTTCGAAAAACGCTGTAGGCTCGCTGCGGGTGGAGTGTATCCGAGAACGCAGTTGCCTCTCAGTCGTCATGTTTGATCAGATCTCACTTTCAGGAGCACTAATTCCCCGAAGTTTGGAATCTCGCTGTTTCTCTCTTCATGGGTTTGCCTTTGAAACCTTGGTCTTTGCGCGAGATCTCGTAGCCTTGCAACTGCCAAACAGGCCGTCCCGGCCGGAGTTATCGTCGGATCAATCTTACTTCAATTTCCAACAAATACCACCCTCTTTATCAAAACGCCTTCGCCTCAAAGGGCAGAGAGCGTACCGGTTTTGCCTCTTTCCAGATAGCAGGATCCCCCCCACCTTGAGTTGCGGATCAATGGAAACATCCATGGACGCGCGGCTTTTGGCTTCTCACTCTTAATACGTTCCGATCATCCGTTCATTCCGTTTCCGCTCTCTTTTCCCCCATCACCTTGAGTTACCTGTCGATAAGACTGCTCACTTCGGCTCATCAGTAAGATTACGTTCCGGTCATCCGTTCAGTCCATTTTGGCTCTGGTTTTTCCCCTCACCTTGAGCTGCGGGTCGATGAGACTGTCTACGCGCGCGCGCCCCTGGGGAATGCACCTGGCGGCCCAGTGCGCGAGCGGCTCGCCTTCTGACGACAGCGCGCGGCGGCCCGTCATCAGCTCCAGCAGCACCACCCCGAAGCTGTACACGTCAGCCTTCTCGGTGACGTCACCCTGGCGCTTGCCGTACCTGTGGATAGGAGAATTGTCTGCATTTAGCTGTGTAAAGAGGGCCTTCTGTATCTGGTTCCCTAAAACTCGATGGGGAAAACCCAGATATTCTCCTGATCGTAATGAAACCTGGCTGCTGGTGACACATCCAAGTCTTTTCTCTTTTACGAAGTCCACAGGAAACTGTTACTTTTTGGTGTCTTGGTGCATACTCCAATCATGAAGAACACCCAAAAGAAGTAGATTCCGCAGGAAAAATCCTGACGAATCATAAAGCGACACAGGACAAGGGCATTAGAGAAAACTAGAAAGATACAGAGAAGAAAGAACGGACAACGGAAGAAAGACCAAGCACGGACACAGGACAAGGACATTAGAGAAACCTAGAAAAATACAATTAAGAAAGAGAGGACAAACAAAGAACGACAAACTAACGGACAAAGCAGAAACGAAAGTGAACGAAGCGCGCAGAGTCGTCAAGAGCACTCACTCTGGCGCCATGTAGCCGCTCGCGCCCACGAGCAGTGACGTCACCTCCTCGGCGACCGACCCCCCACCGACGCTCAGCCGCGCGAGGCCGAAATCGGAAACCACCGCGCGCATATTCACATCGAGCAGCACGTTGCTGGAGCAAAAGTTGCGGTGGACGATGCCGTACTGGTGTAAATACGCCAGGGCGCCCGCGGCCTGCGCCGCGATCCGCAGGCGCTGCTCCCAGTCGAGGCACATGCGGAAGAAGCTGCCTGTACGAAATACGGTGTAAGCAATGAGTGATCTGATCGACATATTGGTAGTTACTACCCAAGTCAGAATGCTAACTAATAGTAGTAATCCCCCAGGTTTTGTACTTCCCGTCCGTTTGTGGATTGATCCCTGGTGCGAAAGGAGTGGGTTTAGAAGGCAAGATGAGGACTTGAACGAACAGCGACTCTATTGTGGCCGGTAGAAAACAAGCACTCGAAGGAGATCCACCGCTTTATGAGAGCCATATGGGCCGACTTTCCGGCCGATAGTCAACGTAGAGCTCTCCGTTGGTTTTAGACGATACTATTTCAAAAGGCAGGACCCGAGCTTAAACGGTCCGGGTCATTGCTAAAAGCCGGGAGTCCCTCTAGTCTCTCGTTCGACGAATCATTAAAACGCAATATCTTGAAAGCCATTCAAAGAGATCATGAAACTGAGAAGCAAAAACCACCCTCACTTCCGTGCAGTCTCTCGTGCAGGCACTTGTTGAGCATGTAGGGCGAGAAAAGGCACCGCTCGGTTCCCTCGTTTCAGTACCCAACAAACGCACTGCCGTGTAAGCAGAAACGACTCACTTCCGGTGAAAGCAAAAACTACTCACTTCCGTGCAGTCTCTCGTGCAGACACTTGTTGAGCATGTAGGGCGAGACGAGGCAGCGCTCCGAGCCCTCGTTGCAGTACCCGACCAAGCGCATCACGTGGGGGTGGTTCAACCGGGCCATCAGACCCACCTCCGGTTCAAACCGGTCGTGCAGGGGTCCCCTGTTTAGCGCACCGAGAGTCTGCGAACGGAAGAGTACGGGGACTATTAGGAACGACTAAAAAACATCTTTTGGACGGGTTGAGATTCGGGTTGAACCAGTCAAAAAAGCCCACTTAGACCAGTGGAATCCGCTCAGGACCGATTGTTATCCTTTTTCAACCAATGAAAAATCCCGTTGAGATTATTCTAAAATGCTCTTTAGACTACTAGTTGCAAATCTCGTGCAGTACCTGCGCGTCTATGAAAAGAAGGCTGTATGCTCTTTTAGTTGGGCAATCAATCCGTTCTTCGCATGTTCGATTACGGAGAACGGACACATGCGTTTGGATTCCGATGAGCCTGGTCGCGCAGCCAGTTACACCTGCGAAACGAGCAGTCACCTGACCGTCATATGCAATTGAGTATTTGCGACATGTAAGTTGAACATCAGCATCGCAGAGCGCGGACCAGGTTCGTTTACTTAGAAGACCGCAGATCAGCTTGCAACCTTGCAGATTCAGTGCTTCGAAAGTACCCTCAGTGTGCTTGCCGCGGTACGAACCAGGTTTGTTTTGTATGCTCAAAGTGTTCGCAATGGTAAACCCAAGCGCGCACCTGCAAATCGTTCAGCCGCTTGACCACCAGGCTCCGCCCCCCGACCGCGCACAGGTAAACCCTCCCAAACCCTGAGCCGCCCAGCAGCCGCTCAGCGCTGAAATTCTCGGACGCGGCCGCGAGCTCCTCGAACGAGAACAGATGGGGATCCCCCGGCTTCGGCCCGTCTCCTTCCCCCTCGTAAAGCGGGTTTTTCCGCCCCCCCACGGAGGCTTCGTAGAGCGGATTCGACAGCTGGCTGCGCGCGAGCGAAAAGACGCTCCCTTTGTCGTCTTCTTGCAGTGAGTTTCTCACGGAGTCTCCGCCAAAAGCGGAGGCGAAGCGAGTACTGGAGATTGAATGGGGGGTGCCCGGAACTAGAATGGGGGAACGGGCGGAGGAAGGGGGGGCCGGGTAGGGCAGCAAAGAGCCCCCCCACGGAGAGCGCGCCGCGGAGGGGAGGGTCAAAACAGGGGGCTGGAAACCCCCCCGGGACGAAACGACGCTCCGACTGGAAGCGCTGCTGGCGACGCTGCTCGAGGCGCGGGGCGTTTTGGGCGTTTTGGGCGTTTTGGGGGTCTTGGGAATAGTGGGTTTTTGGGGGGGGGAGAGGGAGGCTCCGGTGATGAAGCTGTGGGAACTTGCCGGAAACTGGCGACCTGTGGAAAAGAGCGTGACGTCAGCTAGTTGACTGGCTGAAGCAGGAAACGAATTCTTTCAGAGAAAGCCAGCAACGGCTTGAAAGTTTGTATAGAGATTCGCATTCTTTCAAGCAGTCCTGCTGAGTGAAACGTGCGAGACGTTGTTTTTGAGGAAGTTTGGCGCTAATTCATGCAGTCAAAACATGGACAAGGTTGAGACAAAAACCTCCGACTCTCGGCAGTAGCGTTCTTCGCTCTTGTGCGGCTTAGCTTTGACATTTTGAACGCACTAAGAAACAGTTTTCTACTCTACAACAATTCACTTCAGGGAATCGTTGACAGGATGCTAAAGAGCTGTAACCTGACAATGTTTTGCAGACCCGCCGGTCTCGATGTCCGTTCAAAGGCTTTTGCGGGTTCATAAGCGGATGCTTTCAACCCAACGAAGTGAGCACTTCAGGTTATAGTTCCTAAATAAACCTCGGGACTCGGAAAGGTCAAATTGAACGCCCGGGCAAACTCACCACTTTCGATGTCGAACTCCGCCGTTTTGGAAGGTTTCAAACAGAAACGACCGCCCTTCCTATTTTGGCGGCGCATGCACGCGAGCACGCAACAGAATGCGACGGCCGACAGCCCCAGGCCAAAACAGGCGGCCAAGACGGCGACCAGGATAGTCGTGGTGTTTAGTCCCTGGTTGTTGGAAGATTCTGCGTCAAAAACACACGGGTTGAGACTTCTGTACGAGTCTGCGGGGGGGAAAGACGAGCGCAAATCTGGCAAACCTTTTCTTGAGTTTACCATCCTAATCAGATTCTTCGAGAGCCAGATCTTAGGGGCTTGAAGTCAAAGTTCGCACATCGGGCAAACTCCTCTTTAGGGCTGAGCTTTTGAATACCTGTCTTGTAAGACTTCCTCAATTTCCTTCGAAACAGCTCTTTCGTCTCTCATTCTTTATGTTATGGCTTTCCTGCTTTCCAAAGCTGTGCGAGAGGAAAGTGTCTGGTTCAAAAGCAAAGCGAACTCAACCGCACCGCTTTGGCAGCTACAGTCGACAATCGCCGCCCCGTTTTCGGCACACACCCCCTGACCCATCTTCCCTTCCCCGCACGCGCACACGTTGGGGGTTCCTGGGACGCATACTCCTCCCAGGGGGGTCTGCGCCATGGTCAGCGCAGTGCCGGGGTTGCCCCCCAGAACGGAAACACCGGGGGCGCTTGTGGAAACTGTGATCGGAGACGGGGGGGGCATTGGGCTGAGGGCGAGCTCGGGGTCTGGGGGGGTGTTTCGGGGGAGAACGGCGCAGAGGGGCTGGTTCTCGGACAGCTGGCAAAGCGGATTGCCGTCGTACCTGTAAGGGAGTAAGTTCAGGTTTAAGGTGAAGTTAGGAGGGGCGAATATTTACACAATGAGGCTCGGTCTTTGGGGGTGTTTCGGGAAAGAGAAGAGCGCAGAGGGGCTGATGCTCGAAGTGCTGCACAGTGGATTGCCGTCGTACCTACAAAATGGGGGTGGAATTAGATAAAAGTGCGAAGTCTGAGTCTCGAAGACACGAGGGTAGAATAATGGACGGATGGGCTGTACGACTATATGTCGGATCAGGTTTTAATCCAAGTCTGGTTTCATCGGACTCGTTCCTGACAATTCGGCTGGATGGGGGAAGCTGTGCGAATGATCAGGGGTAGTCCCGTATTTAGCCCGAATACGGCGCGGAACTGGGACAGTCGTTTTCTCGAGGTCCTCGGAAGGTTTTTAAGGTTACCTTGCGAGCGAGCAACTAAACAGGGGTTTGACTTGCCAGGTCATTTTACCACTGAACGACTCTCTTGTATACCAAAACCTGGTTTGACCGTTTTGAGGCCAGTTTATAAACTTAAAACGAGCCGGCTCGACTATCTGAGATTTGCCGACGCTTCACTCTTCAGTCTGTTTACGCAAGATGAGAGTCAATATGGAGGGAAGAAAGGAACTTAACGAGGGAGGAATTGTCTCTTACCTCGCAATCAAGTTGGGAAGAGCCATCAGTTCCGGTGGCAGCGCACCCGTCAGGTTGTTGCCTTGCAGAAACCTGCAAGCACAAGGAGATTAGTCTAGATCATCCATAATCGACATGTGAAAAACTTCGGTAGGTGTAAGATCATTTCGTTCTCCGGTAAATCTGAAGCGTTTTGAGAATGTCTGGATGCCACGTCAGGTCTTTGCTCTAAGTTTTGTAAAGACGATTGTGCTTAGGACCAAGCCCGGGGAATGCTTATTGGTAAGAGCGTGCACGCAAACAGCACCCACCGATGTAAAGCGACTAGGACTACATAAGGGCTACATAAGGGTACTATAAGGGCACATAAGGGCTGGGTACATAAGGGCTACATATAAGGGCACTACAAGGGTACATAAGGGTATTACATGAGGGCTGGACGGAACTTCGTTTAGCGTGGAAGGAAGCGCAACTTACAGGTAGTTGAGACTTGTTAGGCCGGCCAGCGAAGGGGAAACCGTGCCCGAGAAAGTGTTGTTTTGCAGAAGCCTGCGGTGTACACAAAATTGGATGAGAGAAAGGCTCGATGAGAAGGCCAAAAGTTGTGAAGCAAAGCTGGCAGATCCACTTACTGGTTTCCGAATGCGACTAGAAGACCCCTAAGGAATTAAGACTGACACCCAGTGTAAGGAGGACGGGGAGGCCTTGTCACAATTGCTCTGGTCAACTTACAGCGCTTGCAGTTGGGTCATCTGGCCGAGCGTCTCTGAAACAAGGCCTTTGGAGGTGTCAAATAGATAGTGTAATCTACCGGAAGACCCGACCGACACTGAGTCCGAGTAGTTCTAGTAAGGCTGAGAGGCCTTGTCGCAATTGCTGTGGTCAACTTACAGCGCTTGCAATTGGTTCATCTGGCCGAGCGTCTCTGAAATACGGCCTTAGAAGTTGTCAAACAGATCGATAGAGAACTTCAAACGGAAGACCCGACCGACACTGAGTCCGAGTAGGTCCAGTAAGGCTGAGAGGCCTTGTCACGGAAGAAGTGTCCAACTTACAGTGCTTGCAGTTGGGTCATCTGGCCGAGCGTCTCGGGAATGGGGCCTTTCAGGTAGTTGAAGCTGAGGTCGAGCAGCCGCAGGCTTGTGAGATTGGCGACTGCGGCGGGAATGGCTCCGGTGAAAACACACCCGCCCAGGTTGCTGCAAACCAGATCTTGCCACGTGTCAGGCACGGACTTTTACGAGTAAAGCGCCTCAGTTTCTTAGTCAAGCGAAGCATCATCTGGTCTGTAACGGAGCAATTTCGGGCCAGGGGAAGGCCTAGAAAGGGAAGAAAAAGATTTGCCGTTTCAATCCCTCTGTCAGAAAAGCAGACGCACAACTACTGAAGCAGCTGCTGGGTCACAAGGAACTAGCGCGTTTCCTTGCTTTCACCACCACCAAAAACTTTCTTGAACGCAGATCCTCGTTCCCCTCGTCAGGGGTTTGTGATTACACGCCTTCCCCCCGTCTTTTCTTTAAGGGGACACTTCTGACTTACAATTGCTGGACGTCGGTGAGGCGAAAACGAGATCCGAGAGCAAAACATGCGTTTTCCCCCCAAAAGGATTTTGAGTTCACATGCGCCACACCCCGCCCCCAAGAATGCGCCTTGACTCACAGTTGCTGGAGCTCGGTGAGGCGGAAGAGGTTATCGGGCAGCGGTCCCCAGACGGAGTTGCGGCTGAGGTCCATGCGAACTAGGCGCGGCATGGCGCCCACCCACGGGTCCAGCGTGGCGACCAGGTGGTTGCCGTGCAGGTCCAATTGCTGCACGACACGTGGCGTTCTACTTCGCTCTTTTTTCGCTTGAGGGTTATCATTCGTTTCTATGATTTTGATCTAGCCACAAACAGCTCGTCGGAAGGGAAACTTCTGACTCGTATTCCGTCTTCGCTTGGAAACGGGGCAAGAATTATACACAAATTTGACAAGGTGGCCGAATCCAAGGCTTCGTGCTTGGCAGACAAGAAGTTCCATACAAGGATTGATCACTACAAGCTTATCTTAAGCGGCCTTGATGAAGCAATTGATTAAGGCAGCATAAAGGAACCTTTGGTGAGCAGTGAAGATGCGACCTCGCGGACTCGGCACAGGAAGATTCCGGTGCCCAAAGTGCACCTTCGCAACATGCTCTGATAAGCCCGCCAGCTATGAGGTGGGGCTGTTCGAAAAAGTAGCAACCAGTCCACCCAATCAGTCCGTCGCCGAACTCAAGTTTCTCTTTCGCCCAACAAAGAAAGGCTTCACTGTAAGAAGTTAAAGAAAGCGACGCCTCCCACCTCAAGCTTCGTCAGGTTCTGGAACTCGCGGGGGATCCCCCCCTCGAGCTGGTTCTGGCTCAGGTCTAGGATCTGCAGGTTTGGAAGCATGCCCAGCGCGGGGGAGAGACTTCCGCTGAGACCGAAGCCCGGGAGTTGCCTGTATACGATTCGAGCAGACGCAATTTTAGAAAGAAAAGGTAGAAGGTCGAAAGAGAACGAACGAGCAGCGTCTCAGTGCCGCTTCTAGATGCTTCACTCGAAAGTAGACTGAGAATCAAAGTGAGAGATGAAGATGTAAGGTAAGAAGTTGGTTTCAACCCCGTTGAAGAGCAAACGAGGATAGAGTTGTGGAAGGACTAGACTTAATTTGCGAGGCATGCAATTTTGAAGAGAGCTCATCTTGAAAGAACGGGAAACTCTCTTGGTGGCCAAGGCTTTGACGATTTGTATCCATGCATCAAGCAGTCCATCTGCCAGAAATTCCTTCTAGAAACTCGATACAGAAAGGAGGGGCAAACAAGACCAGTAGGGAAACCAATCGATCGTGTGCCGCACAATTCGGAGTCAAGAAAGTTCTCGAGCGACTCACAGGCCTGTCACGTATCTCGTCTGGTCGCCGTTCACAGGCGTGCACTGCACTCCCAACCAAGCGGATCCGCAGGGATCCGTACCGTTCCACGTAATCAGGCCGGGGGGGGCGCCGGCCGAGGCCTTGATGATGACGAGAGCATTAGCTGCACGTCAAGAACGTTCCGAATGAACACCAGGTATCTGTCTTGATTAAGAGCTTCGACTGCAGAGATGGAGCGGTGTCAATGGGCTCCTTCGGAGTCCAGCAGTGGAGCCGCGGAAGGATTTGGAGATGATCACCCTGCATAGAGTGGGGTTCTGAAAGGGGAAGAACGCAAGAAGCAAAGGTCCCCAAGACTTTGGGGGCTATGATACTGGATTTCGGACAGGCAAAATGCGAGCTGTTCTCTTGAGCAGAGGCAGAAGGCCCCATCCAACTGCCCCCAGAGATTCCATCAACATAAACATCCAACTTTGCACAATCCATCTGATGCGGCACTTCGCAAAAAGGAAGTCTTTTTTCCTGTTAAAATAGGCAGAGCGTACAGGACATGGTCAATTGCTGCATGTTGCACCCCCAGTAATTGCATCACTTTTCTTATACCAGATCACTCATAGCAGTTTCCCCGCTCTAAGGGACAATCTGCAGAACGATTCAGCTATGCTGCCACGGTCAGGAAGCGCTCCTGCCTGTCTGTAGGACACGTTTTGGCGGGTAGTTTTGGGGTAATGCTTTGTTTACCTCCTAGCAACAACTCAATGTTGAAAGTCCACCCAGTGCATAAGTAGCACTGCTATACACGCTTAGCAGCGTCAAAGCTGACAGCTGACTAGCTATGCACAATCAATGCTGAGCTAGCTTCGCCTGAGAGTTGCAATTTTGATAGTTTCGTTTGACTCCACTGAGGTACAAATGAGTCACACAAGATGAAGCTGTGTACTCAAGTTTTGAAACCTAGCAGGAAATTCAAATGTTGCAAAACCCCACCAAATACAAAAGTGAGATAGGAGCTAGGGTAATTGCAAGGCAGATGTGGAGAACCCACTCAAAATTCCACGCACTGAAACAGAAATGCCCACAAACAAAACTAGGATCACCTGCAAAGATCTCATTCTGTGAAAGTTCGACATACACAACCGATCTTTGCACATGATCAGATCACTGCATTGCAAAGAAAGTGTTGTAAAGTTTGGACTTACCTTCACTGGGGTCCGATTGACCCTCCGCAATGCCCGCCAGGAAAAGCGCAGCGCACACCACCAAGACCATTCGGACCGTCATCGCGTTGAGCGCTTTTGTTTTTGGTGCACGGAGGTGGGCAGGTTGCGTATGCTCAGGTCAAGATGCAAACTACCAGGGTTAACTTGACCCTTGCTTTTAGGGGTTGAGCTCTTCTCACGGCTGATGACATCGCCCGAACTGCTGTCTGTCTTGCGCGTTTGCCCCAGCTCGCAAAAGCTGCCACGCTGCTAGTTGACATCAAGGCACTATTTGCAGTAAGCTCTTTTTCATTGCAATACAGCCAATCGCACTTGCCGGCAGCTGCTGTTTTTTCCTGTACGGTAGGCGTCTCTCTTTTGAAAGCTGTAGAGAATTCAGCGCCAGTGTTTTCTGGGCTGGTCATCTTATCGTCTGTTTGAGCAACTCTTTAAAACCTTCAATCCTGATCATTAGGAAGCTTGATTCACGTCGCGTTGAGTGTCATCAGAATTTGCTAGCGCTTCACAATTACACGAGCGCTGATAACGATAGTACAGAGAGACTTGGCTGTAGGCGCCTGTGGCTGGAGCATTTTGCGGAGCTGTGACGTCGTCTTCCCGCCACTTGCATCCATTATCTACCACTGCCGTCAGCTCGTTTCCAGATAACTAAAGTGCTAGAGAAAGCAGCTTGATTCTTCTCCAAAGCGCGACAGCTGGGAAACAAAATGACGACTGCGCTTCACTTAAAGCACTTCAAATGCAGCTTAATACGTCACGGATCAATGTACCCATGTCATATGAGCATCATGATCGATCAGGATTCGAATCCATCATATGGCAGTACGATCAGAACGCGGAATCCAAAGCAGGGCAGTACGATTGAATCATAGAACCCTGAACTTGACTCGGATAAGCACAGCCGCGCTGCACTCCAGAGTCCAGACAATAGGCTCATACCTAGGTACCTACCTAGGTACCTACATTAAACACATACTGGTACCTTGATGTGCATGCTACCAAAATACTGTACCAAGTAATGTACTTGGCAAGGCGGCGGTGTGTGCCAGCGCTGTTGCGCACAGAAGATGTACAAGGTTTCAAATTCTACCGAGGGTCTTGTCGTTCTGGTGTTATACCGAGTCCCCTTCGCGGAGATCTATTAGCAGTCGGATATGATGACACCATATTTGATATCCACAACCATCCGCTTGCCCGGGACAGGTCGACTTCAATTGTACAAGGAGTTTGGTAGGTGCCCTGAGACTTGAGTACAGTACTGGATTTTATGATGCCCAGCCAAGCAACGACAACATGTACCGTAGGTCCCATCGTCACTCTCCGGTGTACACTTTCCAAATCCGGAAACCGGGGATTCTCGTTGCCGTACACGGAAATACGGCGATACTCAATCAGCGGTTTTCGCAATCATTTCACATGATAATTGGCCGGGCAAGTTTTAAAACAAAACTCATCTGGGCCGTCCGATGACATTATCCATCTTTCAAATATGATCTGCCGTTCATTTATCTGAATTGTTATCGAGCGACAAGTGGCAGCATCTCGTGAGCGGAAGCCGAGAACATTCTGCCAACGTCAGCATCGATAGATTCGATTCTTGAACGGACGGTGCACGGAGGATCTGTCTCGATCCGACGGTCACATCAGCCATCTCGAAATGCGTCTACGTTGGCTCCCCGCTCTAGTCTCTAGCTACTAGTACAAAATGCAGCGCCAGTTTTGGCTGGCAAAGGGTGGAACTTGGAAGCCTGCATCTTCTGGAAGATGTCGCCCTCTATTTAAGAAAAAGCGTTGCAAGCTAAACCACTCGTGCATTGCCCGGAGACGGTTCCGACGCCAATGGCTGCAGCCCTTGCAAGCGCTCCAGCCACATCTGCATGCTACCTGGAACGAAGCGCCTTCAGATCCGCAGATCGCACAACTGCAAGGGCCCACATTTGCACTTCCGCAGCTCTGCAAAGACCAAAGAGCAAACGATATGTGAATCGTACCCTTCTCAGAGCAACAGAATCTAGGTTCGAAGACCTTGCTCTGAATCCTTTTATCGAAGATCAGCAGAGTCTGAGGGGAACTAGAGGGGGACCGATAAAAGCAACAATGGCAGTTGCGGAGGAAACGAAGACATCGGCAGCACACGGGAAGGCCACGCTGTACGATGCGTCCATTTCAAACAATGGTGAGGAGATCTGGTGGTGGTCAGGAGAAGGTCTTTTTTAAACTTTTGCTGGTTGCTTGAGTACTTGTGTACCACCCAGGATCGATTGATTGATCGATGATTTGGTTTCCTCTTTATTCTACTTTTTTCCTTGTTTGGAACACACAAACAGCTTCCAGAGCAACACCCTTTTGTAAACATTGCCATGTGGACAGATCGCGGCACTCTATATGCTGACAGGCGGAGACTGCCAAGAGCTTGTTGCAACATGTGATCAAAGACTCATGCTTTTGAAAAGGTGCAATGATCGTTAGTTGCTCAAAACAACAACTTTGTTTTCAATTGGCAGTAACAAGTCCTGTTTGTACTCGGGTACTTGCTTCAAGTTACCGCAAAACTGCATTTTCTCCAAAAAAGTTCTACTTGACAGTGTTACAGATTGGCGCTGTGCTTTCTACTATCAAGGTAGTGAGATTTGTCAACTTTGGCGGATAGCCAGTGGAAGTGCGTTCTGGTATAAGAAAAAGGACATAGACGAATGTAGATTCAAAAACGCCCGAAAGTCATAATGCACAACCTCGTGCACATCTGCAGGTGCCCGCGTGCGCTTTGTGATCTACGGAAAGGTGAGAACTGCCCGATCCATGAGATTTTAGCATGTTGGTGTCACACTATGCATAGGCCTTTTGTGATCAGAAAAGATCTATAGATCATCTAATGTTGATTCAGCTAGCAGTATCCGGCAAATGCTGGTGAAAATTTTGCACTTGGACCCTTCCTTAGCCCACGTAAAATCCCATAAGTCCGTTGCTGTCAACTTGGCATTGATCTATCTAGGCCCAGAATCTACCCTTTACTTGATGCTCTAGATAAATCTGAAAATTCCTGCGTTGTCAGGATTGAACAGCGCCACTCAGTTGACTTTTGGGCCCTCAGCGGATAAAGCGCTACCTCTTTGCTTACTTCTGGCATCCTACTTAGCACTGAGGATTCCCTCTGATGCACAGCTGCAATTAGCAGATTGTCGGAAGAAACTAGAAGGTTGTCTATTACCTTTGTTCTTTGTTATTCCCCTTGACGGACCTCTTGGATTGAGCCGGTCAAAATGGGCAAAAGCTGGATCCAATTGAACCATGGCCCTGGATTAAAGTGGGCGTAGGGCTCGCGAGTCAATTTCCGATCGGACGGTACAAACCACCGAGTTGATTCTATCGGAGGGTGAATGTTGATTGTTTTCTGTCGCCGTCACGCTACGGTGATGCCATTGGTGTGACGGCCTACGCCCACTTTAAGCTTCATGTGTTCCTGCCTGTCTGATATTCGAAGTGAGGGTGTACACGCAGAAAATGCTGAAGAGAAAATAATACAGTTAGGGACCGCGAATGACCGACGATGATTACATCCAGGGTTTAGAGGATGAGATCGAGATGGCCAAACCAGCCGACCTCGGCGGGCTCAAGAGCGAGGCGTACTTGGCGCTCAACCCGGAGGGAAAGATGCCGCTGCTAGTTACGCCAGAGGGGGAGGGCATCCCTGAAAGCAAGGTGAACTCGTTTTTGGAATAATTAATTGAGCTAGAGCGCAGTTAAGAGTATGAACAATGTTTCGCTGCTGTGTGAACGTCCCACTCTCGAACGACTTGCGAACTTTGTTGAAGAATAATGTCCAGTACAAAGAACTCCTTTCTTATAACGTGAGTGCTGTGGTTCATGCACAGGGTACCAGAGCGAATCAGAATCTAAAAAACTTGATAGATGAGCAGGTTATGATAAGACAATCTCGTTAGTGTGGGGGTTTCGGGTGGGCACGGGTGCAAAGGGGGTAGATTTTTGGGTCTGGATTTGCCATGTCGCCTTTGTCCAGATGTAACTTGAGTTACTTAAAGCAATGTCTGCTGAAATCACCTGACGTTCTCTTTCCGGCAGGTAATAGCTGAGTACCTCCTCGATACCTACCGGGAAAAGGGACCATCGTTTGAGCCCGAACCAGAGAACAAGCTTCGCTGCTCGCTCATAGAGCGCATCCACGACCTTTACATCGCTGGTGAGTGAAGTTAGAAACACGGCCCTCTTTGTTGTCGGTTTTGCGGGATGAGTTCGCTCTCTGCCCGTTTGGACCTTTCTGTTAAAAAGTCAACTGTTAAAGCTTCTGGGAAATTTATCCTCTGCTCGTTCTTCCAGGTTGTGGTGAACTGATGGCAGGTTCCGTCTCTGTCCCCAAAAGGACAAACGCCTCGCCAAGGTGGTCTAGTCGAAACCCTTCTGACAAAGTAATGTAGGCTCTTCATCTGCTTGAAGTCCTCGCGACAGTCTATTTGTTTGCTCGGCAGCTCTGCTTACAAACTTTCAGCTGACTAGTAAGCTTGAGTGACTCTTCCATCCGGTGCTTTTTGAGGGGTTGTAAGCAATAGGTTGAAAATCCGGACTTCTTGTGCTCCGTACTTGCAACCAAACCCTACTGTTCACACTAGATTTAAACATCACCCATCCTTGAGAATCCCTCTTGCTTCAGTCAGCGGTCGATTCGTGGAACAACCCAAACCTATTTTGACTACTTCGCTAGCGCGTCTGTTGCGATGATACATGACCCGGAACGTTTCAAAAGTACTTGCCCAGTCTGGTATGTTCTCGGAGAACGACGTAAGCAGGTCCCGTTTCGTCAATTGTTGCAGCCAATCAAGGCTCCATGTACAGAGCGATGGACCCCTCTGCGCGGGAACAGGGCCTCAGAGAAATTGCGAAGCAGCTGCGGATCCTGGAGCGGTACGCGAAGGCTGAACCCTACCTAGCCGGACCGACCGAAACAGCGGGTGAGCGATTGAGATGTTCTGGTCAAACTTTGTGTCGGCCTTTTCTTTCAAGGGTGTACGATCAAAAATCTAGTTTGAGACACAGGCCAGCATCCGACGCGAGGTCTTTGATTGGCGCTTCAGCGTCTGCGACTCCAGGTTTGAGTCGAAACCAATTCAAAAATGTGTCCGTGTGTCTCCGTTGGACCTTCGGCGTTCGGATGCAGGTTAGACACCTGAGAGACCCGCAAAGAGCCCGACTGACTTTGGCATATGTCATAGTGATAGGCTGTAACGTTTGATCGTACGTCGAGTCCGTATCCGGTGACGTGGATTTGCAGATAGAGTAGGCAAAGAAACAGGTCGGCCCCCCTTCTCTGTCGACAACAAGAAGATAGACGCAAGCCTCAGTGCAATCGTCCAATAAAAATAGCACGATCTTGCAATGATTCTACTGGTACGGGTTGGGTTGGAGTTGGCTTTAGGATGAATTGGGCCTCCTGATATTTTTAGCGCGCCTGGGCCGTTCGTGTCTCCTGTCAGCGGCCGGGCTCTGCTGCCCTTGCCGATCAGCGCTTCGGAAATGCTCGGGAAACTGGTATCTGATCGAGCTGACCTGTTTCACAAAGTCTAAGCGACTCGGCCGCATAGATCTAGCGGCCGTTCACTTTCAGCGGCCGTCAGGATGTCAATTGAGTCGCTTACTTCGTGGCTTTGTTTTGATGTTGAGCCGGTCTCTTTGACTGCCCAGAATTCTGTGGCTCACAGGACAGAGCGGCGTGGCTTAAGATGTGTTTATTGCTGCTACAGAGTCGCACTCCGTATCCTCTTCTGACCGATGGGCCTCCGTCTTAGCCACTTATCGTATCGGCCAATTGACGGATCAAGACATGGTTGAAAACCGTTTAATATGTCTAGACGAGTCAGTTCGGAAGCTTTTGTGGGTGGGTAAGCCGAGCAATTTGACCCCGTGAAGGGCATTTTCTCAAAACGTTCTGGAAAAGATGCGTCACGAAAGTAGCGGATCAGAAGGAAAGGAAGGCTGCTGTTTGACGCTCGATACGCTATACTCCCTTCCGATGTACTCTGTCAATAATGTCTGTCATTACCTGCAGCTGACCATGCCGTTTTCCCAACCATGGTATTCATTGACTACATTACGCCCCGGGTCTATGGATGGAACACGTATCTGGACGACAAACCCAAGCTAAAGGTGAGGACCGGAAACCAGAGAGAGTATCTCCTAGAGACGAATCAACCTTTTGAGCGGCTCGCTTTTTGGAATCGAAGCTGAGTCAAAGATTGTGAGGGCCAACGGCAGCGACTTCTCTTCTTTATCTCTTTACAGAGTGTCATCCTTGACAGAGCGGGCTGAAGACGGGCGAAGAGGTCGGAAGAAGCCCATAGAGAGCTTACCACGTTCAATGTTTGAGACCTGGGACTGGAGGACTTGTCAAGCAACAGAGAAATAGTAGAGGCAAGAAGTTCTTAAGCATCAACCAATTTAAAGTCTGCTGTTCTGCAACAAAATAAAATGGAACCGTTAAGATGTTATGTTTATCGTTCTGACGCTTGTCATTGTGACTGTAGAAATGGTGGACATTCATGAGTGAGCAGCCGGTGGGCCGGCGGATCCGCGACGAAGTCGAGGGCGCCCTGCAAAGCTGGTTCGAAAGCGGGCGCTTCGAGAAGCTGGGCATCACGGACCTGGTGAAGGAAGATCCCAAGAGGTTTACGATTGAGGCCCTGGAGGCAGCGTCTTAGGCCGCTGTACAAATTCAGTCAGTTGCACGGACGGGCCAGTCGAACTCAGTTCACTTGAGCCGGTGCCACACCGCAGTGCGCATGAGGAGGTTGGGGCTGGGAAAACGCCAGCGCTTGTCGCCCCATCGACCCCGTTCTAACAAAGACTGTCTGCTGCCCCGGCTAAATTTTACAAGAAATGTCATTGATGAGTCTGAGGCACTGAGGTAACGGTCGATTCCACGCATTCGAACCATGCAATTCGAGGCCGCGCTTCTTGGCTCGAGACACTAGCTATGCTAGCACGCGCCCTTGTCATTGCTGCAGAGGGATGATCTAGAGACCGCCGGTGCCACTGCCACTAGATGCTTCGCCGCTGATCTGCGACAAGGCCTCCGGTCACGGTACAAGTTGCCATGGCATACGTCAATCATACTTTTTCTGAATGTACATGGAGGACTCCACAGCATTCAAAAAATGATCAGGCCGTTGACGGTGACCTTTACAAACTCGGCCAGGCCGCGATTCATTCGACAGTGAAGATATCCTCGTTTCAAAATGGGCCCGCGGCCGCGCCGTACCTAGTCACATGCTGGGCGGCCTAGCTGGCATATACTATAGGCTTCCATGGCATACCGTAGGCGTAAAATTATAGTTGAATGTTCAAGTCTTGAACGCCCATAGCTCGTATAAGAACATCAGTACGTGGGCTCTCCAGCCGGACTCAGCTTGCGGCGCGGCTCAGTGCACGCACTGCGGCATGACAGTGCGGATGCACTGTATCATTAGTTAGCTGAGGCACGTACTGATGCAAGCTTGGGCGGGAACTTCGCAAGTCGCGGAACTGATTATATTTGAATCGATCCGGCCATCTTGACATCTTAATAAATTAATGATTTAACATTCCAATGGGTTCCGTCCGATCTAGATTGAGCATGTCCGATCCGGACATGCAACTTACAGCTGCAGCAACTGGCTGGCAAGCTGTAGAGTCAACAAACTACCTGTCCCCGGTCTGCCAGAGACCGTGCTCCACGGCTCTAGCGTGGCTAATTAGTTAGTATAAGGGCGTCAATAAATGAGAAGTTACCACCTATATAGCTTGCATAACGTGGCGACTTACGCCGGTTACTGATCCAGTGGCACTGTGTATACCGCATGACATACTACATGATATGTTAGTACCATACGTACTGTTGCACACAGCGACACAACACAAGCAACCTATGGTGGGTCTCGGCGGTATCGACCGGGTTACAATACGGTTTCAAATTTGTTACACCGGTGTCACGCGTCGTGACAATTGTCGTAACCGGTACTGACGACCGTACTCGGTGAAATTGTAGAATCGGCTCCGAGTTCACAAATCGGCAATCTTCTGACAAGTCGCGCAACGGTAAAGTCCATACTTTCCGGCGGTACCGTACCGTCGGAGTCTGCGCGATCGACCCATTTGAAATTAAGGGTCTTGATCGAAACTTCCGACTTGAACCACGGTGGAGTACCGCGGTACCAAGACCGAAAGGATAGTGCACAAGATTCTAAGGCTAGTGTAAGAGAAGGCGCTTTTCAAGCACCAACAATGGCGGCCTACTTTGCGCCTCGTATGCTACTTTTTGGGATTTGTCCTCAACAATACATGAATTTGGGGCTTCAAAGGACCCCTAATGACTCCCTCCCAACATTTTTTTTTGCATGTCAAAAGCTTCTATATGCTGCATGAGCCTCCTACTTGAGCCCTAATTTGATGCTTCTTGCAAAGTGTAAAACATAACACTACCTTACAACTCCATGACACATACTCACGGCCGAGCAAAAAAATCCGAGTACCGTAGTCCAAGGTAACGAATCCGAATAAATAAATAATTATTTGCATTCGGAAAGTCAGAAATCCAGATTTCCCGTTCGGAAAGTTAAAATTCGGAAAGGGAAAATAATCCGGAAATGGTCCTCGGAAGGCAGAAAACTGCCAAAATAGGCCTTGAATTGCTTCTTCCAGTGTGAACATAGGGCATTCGGATTCTGGTCGGAATCTGCATAAATAATTCCGCATTCTTGGTCGGATTGTTGGAAAATATTACTGGGAAATTCCGTTCGGAATCATCACGTTGGACTACGGTAATTGTACCGTACGAGTAACAGAATCCTGAGTCTGCGTGACGCGAACCGCCGGTATCGCTGACGATATTCGATACCGGGTATAACAAAATTGTCGCAACCCGAGTCAAATTTGACTCGCCCGATACCCACCCTAGCTAGCTTGTGAAACTGACATGGCCCGTCTTGCTATTACTTGATTACCCAATTAGCTGTACTACTCGACGAGTTCGATCCGTTCCTTGAATGACTAGGCTAGTTCTTACGTAGACGTTCAATTGGCACATATTGCCATATGCAAGTGACATGCTCCGATCGAATTCAATGCCGCGCATACTAAGCGCCCCGGCCCCGCGGCGGCCCGTAAGATCATGTGCGAGTCACCGTTCACTAGTTAGTATACGGTCAGTTTGACATTGTCGGCCTGCAGGCGGCACCCTGGCACGGCGCCCGGGGACGGCTTCGAACCTGCATATAGTGATTTTATCCAATCGAGCGAACCGATCCGTCGGAAGTTGAACATTGTTGTGGGATTGTTGTATCATGAACGGCGCCAGTCAGTTTTCCGACGGTCATGTCAACCTACACTCACTCACGAAGCAATTTACTTTTGAAGCATTTAAGTTCGTTGTTCTTTCCAAACAAACCGGCGATCGTGATTCAAAAATCACCGCGACGTACGGTGCAGGATTACATATTTACACCGGGTTTTGTAAGTTGTTCGGTTTGCGTGTTCGTTGAAAGCGGGGCCGGCTTCCTTCGATACATTGCATGAATTACGATACACTTTCTTAATATCTATGCAACTTATCCGTCCGTTCTCTTCTGGCCAAGAGGCTAAGCCAAAAGTACAACCTACAATACTTTACAAGTACACAGTGCCGCTGACATCATAAAGCCTTGCGGCAAAAAGGAGTCACTACGTCCAAGAAGATGGATTTCCCAACGGGACTGTACTTCGTAGTCTCCATATTGTTCTCAGCTGTGCGCATATTGCCCTCTTGGCCTTCCTCTCTTCTTAGCCCCCGCTAGGGGCCTTCCCTCTGTTGCACCATCCGTGGTTGCTGCAAAGTAAAGAAATTAAAGCACAGCAACGTGAGCTTTGCCTCCCAAGACGTTTCTCTGGAAAGGCAGTGTCCTCACTATACACAGTCTGCTTTAGCTCTTCGAGGAGTCACAATCTTTTTGAAAGAAAAGACGGGTATTTGTCTGACAAACTTGAAATGCTTACAACGCGTGTCAATCTGTTGGTCAGGGATCTCCTGGTTGAATTAGCATAACGAGGTCCAAGTACTAAAAGCCTCACTTAGAAGACTCGGTTGAATGTTTAAGAATTGGCAAGGGGGCTCGAGACAAACGCGCTGCAACAAGAAGAGCCTAAAGTCTGAACGCTTCATATCTGGAAACGATAGTGAACTTCGATAAGGAAGAGCGCAGAAGGTCAAGGCAAATACCCATCAATCATCCTGATTGAGACTTTGAGGATTCTTCTGCTTACTAATAAACACTCTCGACAGTGAGGACTACAGGGTCCTGATTTGTCGTGACGACTCCGCTCGGACCTCTAGCCAAAGAATTGAAGGACATTTATCTTTAAGCATCCCCATTCCCCTTTCAGTTACGGTAAAACAGTGGTGGGATATTGGCAAGGGACATTGCAAACAAAAACCTCATCTGACAGACCGCCTTTTCAAACGCTCTAGGATTCACATTGCCTGTCAAGGTGGGCTTTTCCAGGCGGTTGAACCTTGACCGAGCTTCACAAAGATGATAAAAGGCCTCCAAGTTGTGCAAGGGAGTTTCCGCCTCCTCAGCCAATCCGAGGACAATGCGGATTGGCCTTGACTGGGTCTTTGACAAGATCGTACACCTAAGCGTCATGTTTGTTACCAGCTTGCCTCGAGGCGAAACATGACTCCAGTTCTTTGGCACAAGGGCAATCAAGCAAGCCTTTTCGGTCACATCGAATACTAACAGCGCAAACTTTTGGAAGAGGAACCATGCTACGATGTGCATGTACGTTTTCGTCAGATGGCGGATCGAACAGAGACTGACCTTGGTCTGTCACCGGTGAGACTTCCCGCTCGGTTGTGTTGGGCTGACCCACCACATTCTCTTTGGTCGACGATATGGCCTCCTCCTTGGCATTGGCGGTGGCCTCTTCTAGCCCGTCCAAGACCTCACGAGCCCCGATCAGTTCCATCATCTCCTGGAATCTTTCATCACTGCTTCTTGCCGACAAGGGTGTCGGTGGAATAAGGCGATACACCACGCCCGGCTAAATGCGAGCAAAGCTCATGAGAATAGGCTTGTTCCGTGGATCTGAGTCGACGGGGATAAATCCGACCGCGTTAAAGTGCCTCACTATTCGCCGCAATCCCTCCTCACCCGGCACCCTGAAAGTGAACTCAACCGGCTTAGCATCGATTCTCGGGAATCGGATGGTAAAGTCCTTCTCCTTGGGGTCTGCACAAACATGAAACGAGTATTTTTATCTCTACACATCTGAAGCCACTTGGGCCGCAAAACTTATGTCGCCAATCAAATTCACGGAGCCACACCGGGAAAACTTTTGCGGAAGACTCCTCGCAACATCCGTATTTCCAGTTTCGGGTCTGATCAAAAGGGATTTGTGGCGGCCGAGCTCCGGTGAAACAGGGAGCGTCTTGTTGTGCTCGAACTTAAGATTTGCATCTGCAAAACACTGTAGTCTTCATTCCGATCGTCAATCCAGAAGTTCGAAACCTTCTAGGAGTCAGCTCGATACTGACTCAGAAACTTGAGAGGTCAACTCTGACATTGACAACCAAGCCTTTACGAGTCCTGGTATGGCCCAGATCCTAGGACTCAACAGGACTTGAGGGGCATAGGTATGTACAACAAATTACATGGAAATTCAAGATGAGTCGTAAGAGATCGAGTTCTATTGATTCGATGTGTCATCTCAGGCTTGACACGTTGAAGGCCGCAGGGAACCTTCCGGGATAGGTCATCGTGCCAGGGAGCAAGTTGAGCAATGACCAGGTTTATTCGGTTGGTTACAGTACTCGAGTTACCCTAAATCGCAACTAACACGTATATGGCAGTTCTGGGTTAGCCCCGGCCTTGGTTTATGTCAACAAAGATATCCATGTAAGAAGCGACTAGCGGCAATTTGCAGACTCCCAAGATGCTGAGGCGGCTTTCTTGTGAAGGTGTGCAGGAAAGAGAAGGTTACAGCAGTCTGAACTCGCAACACATGGAAACAAATACAAAACCATTTTCAATTCTTGTCTTCCAAGTTCGAAAAGCATAATCCAAATAACACCAAATCAGTGACAGCTTTCAGTCCGTCTTGATTCAGACCTGGGCTCCGTGGTGGGTCCACTTGTTGTGTGCAGGTGTTGAGTGCAGGGTTTGGCTGTGACAACGGATGTCGTCTCAGGGTTACTGTTGGTTTACGGTGCCATTGCAGGCCTTAATCTCAATGCACGATAAGTTGGTGCCAGGGGTAGGTCGGGTTAATTCAAGCATCCAAGCGGTAGAATGAAGAGACAACTATGCTCAGATGTATCTGAAGGCTCACCTAGAATATAGTAGTAGTTACCAGAATCCTGAGAATCATAATCAAACCCGCTTCAGAGCAAAACCTTCTTTGGTTGTCAATTTGCCCGGTCCATATTTGTTAGAAAGAGCGGCCAGATGGTGAAAGTAAAGCGATTCATACTGTCCAGCTATGGACCTTTCCGATACTTGAACTCGGATTTTACCTTCCTGCAGGTCAAGGAGTTCAACTAGCATGTGTGCATGTCTCTCTGCACGTTCATCATATCAATGGAGTGGATCAACATGTCAGATACCTTGTGCATTCTCAAAGCGAGTCAGAGCAACATTGGCTCTCGATAATGCACAGAACAGATTGTGAAAGGTGGATAAGCAAGAACGCAAGCGTCGAATTCATTCCCTGTCTTGAAAGTACAAGTTTGATATCCCCAAGCATGCCATGCCAATGCTATGAGAGCAGCAAAGAGGCAACTTCAGAACATGAAGTGAACAGATCCTTGAAGGTTCAGAGCAAAGGGTCATTAGCAGTACCTCGTTCTTGTCTGATAAGAGGGGGGCCCTTGTCCTGCATCACATTAGCTATAGTGAATGCAGATTACAGAGTGTGTTCAAATCTAGAGACTCTTGGCCATTCCACTAGAGTTTGGGTCTCTCTGCTACAAAGGGTGATCCCAACGTTTGCATGCATTTTTAGCACAGACAGAAGCGTCCACCGCCAAGCGGATTCTGAGGATGAACTGAGCCATGCTCCGCTCCGTTTATCTTGCTTATTCTTTCTGACAATTTCCTCAAAGATAACAAAAGCAAAAGGAAGGCTTTTCATATGCATCTGTTGCCTGCTCTCCTTGCAAATAGGGCAACTAGAGAAATGATTGGCTGTGCAGTAAGTGTTTCAACTAGCATACAACATGTGAGTCTCTGACGGAGGCAAGTGCAAGCTGCATAACCGCCCAAAATCCAGTCTGCTCAAAAACGGACCCTGCTCTCAGGAAACAACTGCCAACTTACATGAAGGACGCAGTGCCACTTCTGCCTAGGCATGGATTGGCAGAATGTTGGGGACTGCATTGGGCTGCGGCAGAAAAGCTCGGGTAAGCAAGATTACAAGATGTTGTTTTACAGCAATCTCACATCACAAGATCACATCTGATTCGACCATGGCAATCAACTACAAGCCCGAAAATGAGATAATGTAAATGACAAGGGTTCTCAGGCATGCTCAGAAGCAAAACTAACTTAGCATAGGGGGGCTCGCAGGATCAGGTAGGGCCAATTCCGGCACTCATAATTTTAGCTCCCTAGCGGCATGGTAAAAAGAAAAGTTTTTGGCGATCTTGGTTGGGGTCGAACCCAAGACCTTCCCGTAGGTCCGTGGACCCGGAGATTTTGAAAATGTACACCCGTACGGTCGAAAAGTACACATGTACAGGTCAAGTACAGCCCACAGTATGTCAGCACTTTGCCCGTTCTTGGCCCGGTAGGACGTTTCCTACCACCAATCACTCGAAACATGGCCAAATCGAGGTCGGTTTTTTGCTACGGGCTGCTTACAAGTA